GTCACCTGATGATGACTGAAAACATCCAGATGAACAGAATCGACCTTTTGGGATTTCCTTACTTGGGCTACGTTCACACTACTCTTAATGCTCAATTCCGATTTTTTGATCAAATCCAATTTTTTATTTTTATTTTTTTTTGTCTGCTTGTTCACACTACAAATAAAATGCAACCGCAAACGCGCTCTAGTGTGAACCCTCAAAGCGGCCCGCATTCGCAAAAGATGTCACACACAACGCGCTCTGTTTAGACCCAGAGCAAACAATATTGTTTGACTGATGGCCCTTAATATAAAGACTTCGGACTTTACGTTTCCCAATTTTTGCTTGAAGTTATTTTGTTATTTACATAATAATGTAAATAACCTAATAATTATCCTTATTGCTGTTTTAGAGAGGAGCGGTGCTTCAAAGGATAGTTGCAGATTTCTGTCAGAATCTGCAGATTATACAGTACAAATAAAATGTTCACATTTCTCCAACGTTGTCTTCCCAACAGTTTCACTAACATGGATGGCCAGGAAGCGTTCGCAATGTCTTATCGGGCGCTTCTCCGGAGCCGATAATTGGCGTCTGTCTTGTGTCAGTGATGTAAAAGACAGATTTAATGCGACCTGACCATTCAAACAGCAGTCGCTTTCTAAAACATCGGATATGTATCGGATTCAGTACCACATGCAAAAGTGACCCAGATTTGATTTGAAAATATCGGATTTGTGCCGTTCACACTGTCATACCATGATCGGATATGGGTCGCATAGGGTCAAAAAAATCGGATTTGATGCGCTTTCGCCTGCAGTGTGAACGTAGCCTTAGATGATCGAGCATCAAGACATCTGGTTAGATACATTATTTCCAAGATTTTCAGGGCTGAGTAAAATAAACTCAGGTTTTTCTGAAGCAGGAGGTCGGAGGTCATCCCACCTTTCCTGTCACTCATTAAAGGTTAATCTGTTTTATTAAAAACAGGACAAAGACAGCTGCTTCTTCTGTGGTGTTTCTGGGGACATCTTGAGGACACCCACTGAAGCCTTTAAGCTTGAAGTTCACTGAAATAAGCTGAGTGCAGTCAAGCTGCGTGTTTAATCCGTCCACGTGTGCTTCCTTCACTTACAAACCTATAAACCTGTCAGCTCGAGAAATGTGCACAGAATGAGCTATGCAGGAAGTGTCTGTGACTTCATAGGAAGTTTTTTTTTTTTTTTTTTTTTTTTCTTACAGTAAAACCCTGAAATTTCTGCAGTAGATGGTGGAAAACTGTAATTTTTTCCGACCATAGGAAAAACTGAACCAAAGCTCCAGGTAAATTGTTGTTATTGAGCACTGTATACTACATGTCTCATTCACACGCATGCATACAAACTAGTGTGTCAATAGATTTAAAAAAAAATAAATTTATTAATCTCACAATTTTCTGTAATTAATAGCAATTATTTGATCAATAGCCTGGCTGCAATTACACTTTTTCAACTTTATATTTAAGCTTGTAACAGACATTTATATCAAAGAGAAATTGAATAGTTTTCTTGTAACACATGTGAAATGCAAGTTTTTTTTTTAAAAACCTATATTTTAATAATAATAGGTAAGTATACACTAATATTTGATTGAATATATTTTTATTTTTTATTTTTTTAAGTGCTGGGGGGAAATATACGCACTTAACATGTTTATTGAGCATTTATCTTAACAAAAAACTGTAAACATTTATCCACTCTCTCTCTGTCATTCTTGAGATGAGGAACCAAAGCTATGTAAAACGCATGTTCTCAATGATATTAATAGGTCTGCAGTTTGTTGCAATCTACTTGGCAATTGTGTCAGTCATTATTTCCGAGGTAGACTTACTGAGCCCCCTGATGCTCCGTGAGTGATTTGTCGCAAGCTGGGTGACGCATTAGCCAAAATCTTAGCAGCATGCCCGGCTAACGTATGCTTCACATCAATGTGATATTTTAAGCTCGGTGAAAAGAAAATTCCTTCTTGCACAATGTGCATAATACTTTGCCGGTCAACTCTTGTTATTATTTTAATACTCAAATTTCCCATCAAGAGGGCCAATGTGCATTTATCATCTTCCAAATTGAGTTGATTGGTTCAGCTACCTGTCACTACTAGATCTACTGCCCATTTGCGCATGTGCGAAGGTAACTCTACTTGGACAAACTGCCCGAAATGCATTGACAGAAACATTTCAGGGATTTTGAGTCCTTCTGCACTACAGATCCATTAATAGCGTTAATTTTTTTTAAATCACGTTAATCTGTCTGTGACACTCTTTCGAGGATGCCAATGTTCACATTTTGGACAGAGAGGACAGATGGTTTGAAAGAGGAGTGAAAGAAGCCATCTATGTCCACTGTGAGCGACCATCTTTGAACAGAGGCGGTGGTTTACGACACCAACTCTCTGCCATCTATAATCCAGTTTTGAGATCCCTTCCCAGACGCCTTAACGCCCACTCACATCCTGGGCCATCTGATCTCAGGAATTCGCATGATAAGGTGGGGCCAGGTTTCACAATGAACTCACCCGAAACTCTGGCTGATTGGGACCCACACCCAGTTTCACACCTTGGCTCTGGCGATTAGAGGATCATCAGGGGGTCCTTTTGTCCCTCTGTGGGGGGATACTCTCACTAGGTTTATATCTGGGACTCTCCACCATTTGACCTTAGAACTGAAGAAGCTTCTCGGATGAGAGGTGAAACGTCTTCAAGTAACTTAAAGAAGTCCAGACGCTTTTCTTTGCAAGCTCCTTTGACAATCACGTTAATCGTGATGACTGCTTAATCTGCGTTAACGCATTCATTTTGACAGCACTAATTCAAACACCTGTATGCTTCAGTGCTTTGGAATGCTCATGCTCCGATGGATGTGTCAGAGAGCAACTCAGCTTTAGTATCTCGTCATGGGATCGAGCCACCAAATGTCCAATCAGCTCTAGACAGTGGGCCAACTCTGGCCCCCGGGCCTCATGTTTGACACCTCTGATACAAAATAAAACCAAAGTCATTAAAGGCAAACCTGCACACGTGTGTATGCAGTTCTTTCTTAGAGCGATCAACAAGCAACCTAATGAGTTACCATGGAAACAGAGTTCTCAGGTATGTGTTTACAGACAGGTGATTGGCCTGATTCCGGGGTTTGGACATAACCTGTGATCTGAGTGGAAGCAGGTTCGGGCCAAACTGACTACGTTTAAAGAGTAGATCTCAGGTATGTGTTTACAGACAGGTGATTGGCCTGATCAACAGGAGCATCAGCCGAAAAGCTCCACCTTCCTGTTAATTCTGACTCTGGTTAATTGCTCCATGGGTGCTGCTGTTCTTATTCAGGTCAGCTTCAATGATTCATTTCCCCTGGGTGCTGTCTGACAGGCTGCTTAAACATTAATGAGGCTGAGCATTTGCCTTCCAGGAGCTCGGCCAATCAAAGCGTCTCAGAGGCAGAAGTGCAACAACAGACCCAATCACAGCAGAGCAGGAATGAGGTCAGACTTCCTGCTGCTCCCTCTACAATGGCGTGATGAACCTGGAGCTCGAGCCTGCCTCTGGCATCACATCTGTTTATTCACGTCACAAAGTTTGAGTTTACTGGACGTTTACAAATAAAAAGCTGAATCACCTGCGGACTGCACGTAGGTGCGTCTCAGGTGAGCCTCACTCTAATAGTCCTTTTTTTTCCCCTCTCAACTCTTGTCTGGCAGGAGCAGCTGCTCGCACACCTGCTGAATTTTCTTGGGACTTCTTCTTTTCTGCAGTCTCGCACTCTCTGCGGCTTCCTGTTTCCACTCAAACGCCTCCATGCACATGCACAGTGTTAACCACAGACGCATGCTGCCCTGAAGCAGTCGACTTCCTGTGTGTTCACCTCTTGATGAACCCTCTCTCGTGCTTTTTGTTGAGTTCTTCATAGAATTATCTTTGTGATCACTGATGTAAGGCACATCCAACTTGCCATCCACTCTCACCTTATCTGTGACCCTGAAAAGTCTCAATGTGACAGAAAATAAAGTTCCTGAATATTAAAACTACAAAATAAACTTCACTGTCACCAGCCATCAGATTAAACAGGAAGTGATTCCATTTTATTTTTAGTTAGTTTGTGGGTGATCGCAGCCAATCAGTGAAGAGGTGATGATGATGAGACGATTCCATCCCATAATTCATAGTAGCACTCCATCAGATTAAAAAAGAAAAAACTATCAGCAACTCAGATTTGTTGATAAATGCCTGACGCACCTGAAGCTTATAATTCTGTTTATCTGAGCTTCTTTTTGGACACAATACTGTTCACTCTCTTAGTTGTCAGAGGTCAGGGTGGGTGGAGCCTTCAGTGGGACTCACAGCTTTCTGTTTTTATTATCTTTATTCATTTCTAATGTGGTTCTGTTAATGTTAATGTGTTTTAATGTTGCGCTCTGTAAACTTTTCCTAGCGTGGACGCTGACATGTGTTCTGTATAAATAAAGTTGTTCTTAAAAAAAACAAAACTGTAATGTCAGCATTTTGTAGTCCGTCTTCTGGGTGTTGTAGTTTTATGCTTCCAGCATTGGGTTATTATTCTCCAGGTTCTCTGATACTCTCGTTATCTGATTGAGGAAATGGAGGTGGTTTAGGTCACGTGATCATACGATGGTTATATGGGGGGGGACAACTAAGCTGTAGTGTTTGCACAATAGTCGAAAAGTGCAATAGACAATTGGCTGCTACATCTCATTAATGAGTATTTTTCACTGCCTATTTATATATTCTGTATTTATATATGTGTATATATGCTATATTTATCCTTATGCTTCTATTCGCATTCTCTTTCCCCCCTTTTTTATATTCTAATTTCTTTACTATGCAAATTTCTGTCTGTGTCCTGCTACTGGAAACTGATCACGGTTACATTTCAGTCAAATTGCTTTAAAAAAGTCCACATGAGTGAAAATGAAAAATTTACATTTTTTAATGATGACAGAAGACATTAGCCATTCACTGAATACAGTTTAAAAACTGTGAGACCAGGTGTGTGATGTAGCTACGGTTCAGAGAAAACAATAATGTGAGGTCACCTGTCTGTCCGGTTGAAGTGCTACAGTAAAAACATTCACACCCTGCAGGTGTGAATGTTTGAGATGCAGTTACATGTTTCTGTGTCTGCGGGAGTGGCCACGCACTAGGTGTTCGGCCATCAGGTACGATGCTGCTGTTTCAGTCTAACACGTGGCAGCAGGGAGGCTGACAGTGTGCAACACAGCAGTGCACACAGAGCACTGCAACATCACAGATCAACGTCTCTCAGGCCTTATTCAAGTCCTCGTGTTTGTGTCACCTTCTTTACTCTAGCTTCTGTCTCTAAAGTTCTTGTTCCAAACATTTCTGTTTTTGTTTTTCTGTGCATGCGTAGCACTCAAAGTCCCCCGGTTCTTGGTCCTGGTCCTCTGCGGTCACCTCAGGACACTGCAGTGTTGGGGAACCGCTACCTCAGGTCCCGGGTGGTTTTCCTGCTGCCAGCCTCTCACTGCCCGTGTTGAGCTCTAAAGAGTTGTTGATCGGCTGGATTTTGTTTTGGCTGGTGTTGGACGGAGTTCTCACCAGCACTCTGCCACAGACCTGTGCAAGTCCTCGCCGTAGATCCTTTCGAATGTTGTTGCTTGACAAGACGTACAGGATTGGGTTGACAGCGCTGTTGATGGTGGACAGGCCCAGCGATATGGTGTAGGGTGTGTACATGGCCTTCTGAAACGAGCAGTTGTCAAGCCACGGGAAGTGGAAGATGATGCCTCGGACCAGTAGGATGATGTGGTATGGGGCAAAGCACACCAGGAACAGAACCACCACACCCACGGCCAACTGCCGGACACGGCGTTTTTGTGCCGACTGCAGCCCTGTGCTGCGCTGCACATTAGCCAGGATGCCGCAGTTGGTGACCACCAGCAACAGCAGCGGGAGCAGGAAGCCGATGACGAAGCGAGCGTAGTAAAACCCTGTCACCATCGCGCTGCTCTGACTCGGCTCGAAGCAGTGATGCGAACCCTCTGTGGCGCCCTCCTTCATGGTGAAGACAGGGGCGTGTCCGATGGCCACCACCAGAATGATAGCGAGAACGACAAAGGCGGCGTGGCGTTGCCGTCGCAGGCCACGGGACTCCAGGCTGTAGACAACGGCGACACAGCGGTCGAAGGAGACACAGCAAAGCAGGAAGATGCTGATGTACATGTTGTTGAAGAAGATGTAGCCCGTCAGCTTGCAGAACGCTGACGACCATGGCCACCTGTGACCGCTGTTCACGTAGATCGCCCACAGCGGCAGCGTCCCCAGGTAGGTAAGGTCACAGACCGACAGGCTGCACAGGTACACGCCCAGCACATTCTTCCTGCGCACCTGCAACCCCGTGAGGAGGACTGTCAACAGGTTGGCGGGCAGACCGACCAGCAGCACGGCGCTGTACAGCAGCACCAGCGGTAGGCGGCCCTCATCATGCGGCAGCGTGCAGTTCAGGTCACTTCGATTGGTCGTCTGGGTCACCATTTCGGTGACTGCCAGCATGATGTCTGCGGGGAGAGACAACCAATCAGAGCCCAGGGCTAATCATCTGCAGAGAGATACAGCCAATCAGAGTCTTTGGCTGTATCTCAAAGACTGATATCAGCATAAATAAAAACGTAACTTAAAGCACAGTGAAAGGAATCACACAAGAAGGTCAGACAGGATCCATGGAGACGGCAGCAGAATCCGACCCAGCTGAGCATGCTCAGCAGCGAGAGCTGCTCTGATCAGTGTCACGCTGAAAAAGCACCTGAAGGTGTCAATCAAACGGCAGTCTGAGAGGAGGTTTTCAGCTGCTGTATGTGGGCTGCACAATTCATATAACACCTGGCACAGCCCTGAATAATGACCTTCAATGGAGAAAGTGGGGATAAAGAACACAGGCCTTTTGGTTTCTGCATGATTTTAACACCAAATGAGGCCAAAAACAGCTCGATCATTAAAAAAAGGTCTGAGCTCTCACATCTCACCCACACTCTTATTCTGAAACTTGATTTATTCATCACTACATACTTGAATGAAAAGAACTTTCCCCTCACAGACGAGCGCAGGCTGAGTGGCTGATCTGTGACAAAGAGTTAAAGCCATACTGGTGAGCCATACTGGTGAGCGCCGCAAAGTAAATTTCACTTCCCCTTCCTTCTAAAGTCAAAAACCTTCAGTGTCGTAAAGGAGCTTTTAACCATCTAAATTCTGAAAGCTGGATCACCAGCTGCCTGCAGGTAAATTTGGGATTTCTGGACTTGTATCAGGACTGAGCTGTTATCAGGAGGTAATGAATTCACTTTAAGGTGAGCCGACCTGTTCCAGATCCAGGTCTGGGACTATTTATTTATGCTCTCCAGCCTCAAGTATGCAGATTTTCATGATTTGCTCATGTTCATTAAAAAAAGGAAAAGTTCCTCCGAGGTCATGAAATAAAGTCATGTCAATTCATACAAGACATCGTCAGAGGTTGAATCTGTTTCTAGGTGTTCACACGTTGTTTTTTTAAATCTTAAAGGGTTCTTAAAGGGTCTTAAAGGGGTTTTTTGTGCTCGCTGTTTATAAACTCATCAGCGAGTTCATCAGCGACCTGAATCTTTCCTGTGGGCGCAGTCAGACACTGTTAGCTTCCTCTGACCTTTATACCACCTGATCGATTGGTCATCAGGCTGACTGATCACGATTATGAGATGACTTCCTGTCTGAAGTGAGCCTGCACAGGAAACTGCTGCAGGAAACCTTGCCACAATAATGGTTCTCACGTCTGTCATGCTGAAACCTCACCTCATCGGCGCATGGAAACCACGCATCTCTGGGTCTGGCTAGGTAAGCTTTCTTTTTCTGTGGTTTCAATCTGAGCACTCCACAGAGTGCAATGTACTCAGAGAAGACAGTTTACCTGAAATGATCCTCCTCTTCCTCCTCCGGGAATATAATGAGTCTGAAATGTGCAATCAGAATCCATCAATCAGAGGTCTCAGCTGATTCCTCCCCTTTACACACCTGACACAGGAATACATACTTGAAATGGCGATCGATAACTTCACCTCCATACTGATCCCTCATCAGTTCACACATAAAGTCATTGTAACAGTACTTCAAAGGAGAGCTGCAGAAGTACTGTGTACAATGCACTATTAGTACTCTAAGTGCACGGCAAGTTTAAAGTGTACATTAAAGTACTCATTTGTTACTGCAGTAAAAATACACAAGTACTCAGTACTACAGTTATTGTTACATTATTAACCAATCAACTATCTTCTGTTATTACTCTTACACATACTACAAGAAGAGCTGTTTCTTCTTCTGCTGACAGCTCTATGTCACACTGCGTTATCTTTGGCGTGTTTCAGAGTCACTAGAGAAACAGGAACAAAGAGCCCAGGGACAAGGCTGCACTTGAGGTTCAGTGTGAATATTTGATGCTCTTTGTTCTCATCCTCCTCTTCATCACCGACTGACTCACTTTAAACGAATATTTCGATCAGCTGTGTGTCCCGCTGATCGATCGACTGGATTAATAACTCGATCAATAATACTGGTTCTTCATCAGTAACCTCTCTGTACAGTACTATGTATACTGCAGTACTACGTGAACTGAAAGTACACTCAGAATATTTGAAGTACACCAAGTGACTTTAATGCTATTACAGCAGAATGAAGTACTCTGTCTAATAAACCTGGCAGCACTACAGTGTATTTGCAGTAAGTGTATGTCTCTGTACCTGCACGCGCTGCCTGCTGTCCTCAGGTGAAGCTTGCGTCTGTCCTCGTGCTGCTCCTTAACGAAGTGATGCTCAGTGACGTCCCGCAGAGTCACGTGACTCCTAACCGTCTCATCGACACCTCGTTTTCGTCTGTTATCGGAGACCATCGATAAACGCCAGCCTACACGCGTTCAGTCTCCTCAATGACGTGAAACCGCGACCGCGCGCCGCCTGCTGGCAGCACGAGGAGTCTCATAAAATGCACGGGGCTGTAAACACAAACCTGTACAACACGTGTAAAATAAGAAGGAAGCGCCAACATTCAGAGCCAGCGGAGTGAAAAATATCGATGTTTGGCCTGAAAACTCGATAAATATCTGAATGTTTGCTCTTCAAAGCTGCTGTTTATTTCCCTTTAATCTCTCATGTGGTGATGAAAGAAATCGTCATTATATACAAACGAGGAGAGTCAATAATTGATATATAAATGTTTATTGGCTGTTTGTAACAGACAGATGGGTTTTGGGGATGTTTGTGTTTATTTTGCACTTTATGTTTGTGAACAAATAAAAGGTTAAAAAAATCCATTAAGCAAAATTCAGCTGTTTCTGATGTCTCTTAATTAAAAGTTATGATTTATTTTCTCACACAGTACAGGAATATTTAATACATCAGTCTGCTCTTCATGTTAACAGAAACATGGGATTGATCACAGCTTTTGGATTTTTGTTTTACTTGGGAAACTTTTAGACAAACTTCAAACCCGATCACTTTAGGACAGATCTGTCTATGAGAGGTGGCAACCTGAACATTTGAGAGCACACATACATTCTCGGACAAATATGGCAGCAGCATCCGTATGCCAGCATGCTGTCCTGAAGCATCAATCTGTGTTTTTATTTTATTTGGCGTGATGATGTCAGAATTAATGTCAGAGGTGTGTCCAATTATCTGATGAAACATGAAGAAATAACTCCGTCCACTCTTTCTCACATCAATACAGTCACTTCCTGTTTTCAAAGGAACATCAGAGTCATGACTCTCCCCCTTCCTGGGTATGTAGGCAGAGCTACATCGATTCAGACAGCCACAGATGGGCTGGAAGGACATTCATGTTGCCATGGTGACAGCCATGTTAGTTTTTCCAGCGAATTTGCTGAAAGAAAAGAAATAGTTTAGTCACATGTCAAGTCACATGATATAGTTCACAAAGGAGCTCTCCTCACCGGGTTGCTGAGCAGGTCATCAATCTTCCTCTCCTCCGCTGAGCCCCTCACCACCTTCCCACGGTATCCCAGCAGCAGCTGCCGGTCCTTCATGTCCCGGTATGTCTGATTTGCCCAGAGATACAACATCATCATGACATCATACAAAGTATTGTTCTCTGATTGGTCATTTTTAAAGCAGCAGTGTGGTGGGGCGTGGTCTGTGGTGCCGTGCGGACGCACCTGCACGGCATCTGCAGATCGCACCTGTGGTGTTAAAACACGGGGACTCAAGGGTTGGTTGTTGTGGTGAGAAGTGCTCAATAAAATGGCTCAAAACTATGATCCTTGGACCCGTCGTGCCTTAATTCCACCACAAGCAGCTAAATCAAATTTGGCAGACTCACACTGATGACGATGTCGTGACATTTATGTTTCTGAGCCAAAGTGAGCCTCAACTCTCCGTCGTCCACGAGTGCCACGTAGTCCTGCAGCACCTGACAGTAATCAATAACCAATGATCAAAAATCAATAACAAGCTGATGGCTACGTCTCTCTCTACCTCTGTACCAGGTGTGTTACAGTAGCTCACGTGTGTGGGGGCGGAGTTCTTCTGTAGGATGTCAACAACTCGCTGGAAGCTCAGTGGTGATTTCTTCCTGGTGAACCCGAGCCAATTCCTGCTGGCAAACAGAGCGTCCACGTCCAGCCATGCCTTCAGCTTCGCCCTTGCAGCCAAAGCTGTCACAAAGTACTGCTTTTCTGAGATCTGAGTTCAGAGGTCACAGGTCAGTGAGTCAAACAGATCAAAAGAGGTCAAAAGTCAAAGCAAACCAGTCAGCTCTCACCTTAAAGGTCTGACGGATATTTAACGGACTGCTGAAGGTCCCCTGAAATATAAACACTGTTGCAGGTTACTGCTAACTCAGGCTAACAGGGGCTAACACTAACTCAGGCTAAGAGGGACTAACACTAATTCAGGCTAACAGGAACTAAAACTAACACAGGCTAACAGACTGACCTCTGGCTCAGCGTAGTGGTAGAAGCAGCAGTAGTACAGCGTGGTGATCAGCGGCATGTTGAGGATCAAAGCTTTTCTGGGAAACTTCTGGAAAATTTCCACCTTCCCTCCACGCTCAGCCTGCCGGTCTGTCACCTAGCAACAACAGTGATTAAACTGGATCTAGTCAATCAGAAACCTTCAACCTCATCATGAACTTAATTAACTGGTTACTGACCTCGATGATGATCTGCCTTTCCAATAGAGTGTAGTGATCCTGAACATGGGCCAGGTCCTCAGCAGAAAATGGGAGGCTGAAAACAACGAACAAACAACTGTAAACAACAAACACTAACAGTTACCTGAGTGTAATCAGATTACTGACCTAAGGCAGTTCTTCAGGAAGTCCCGTCTTTTGTTTTCATCTGTGATGCTCAAGTGTTCCTTATACTGAAGCAGCTGTTGCCATGAAAACAGGAAATGGCATCATCATCAGCCCAATGAACGCCAGAAGAATTAATGTTGATTTGTTTATAGCTACAGAGTACTACATACCGCCGCATCCTCAGCTCTGCCCAGTGCTCTGAGGAACAGGAAGAAAGCAAACACATCAAAAGAGTTCTATCTGTACAGGTGTACACCAGATACCTGTGACACACCTGAATGTCTATCTGCTGACCTGAACCTCATCACTCAGTCACAAGAACACCTGCAGCATGTTCAGCATCACGCTTCATACAGACGAGGGCAGTAATCAGCAGGGACAGGTGTACTTGTAGGTGAGAGCAAACCTGTGCAGTTCCAGTAGCAGCCTCTGGTTTTGGGTCTCACTCAGGTAGTGGATGAAGTGTCTGAGAGCTGTCTGCCTGGACTCCAGCTCTCGAAACAAAACCTCTGAGAACAAAAACAGAGTCAGTGGGAGAACCAATCAACCAGCAGGACCGGGATCAAGACCACACTCACCTTTACAGAGCGTCCTCTTTAGATAGATTAAAACCTGAAACATAAACAGAGCATGCTCAGTTGTGTCTGATGGGATGGTTAATAAAGTTTAAATGATGCCGTTATGAATCAGATCAAGTTACAGCCGTGATGACGTTTCCATCATGAGCAGCAATGGCGTGATCGAGCAGCAGCAGTTTGTCCTGCAGTGTGCGGAACCTCTCCAGAGACACAGCCTACAATGCAGTACAAATAATCACAGTACTACTACTATAGAGTACTGACGCTCAGAGTACCACACTGAATTTTTCCAGAGACACGGCCTGCCACACAGTACAAATACTTACAATATTAATACAGAGCAGAAATACTCAGACTTGGGTGAACAGGTGTGTTACCTTTCCTTGCTGGAGTCTCTGAACCGTCTCTTCAGGTGACCAATCACTGACATAATCCTGACATCACAATAACCATATCACCATTAGAAATGACAGCATAGGACAACAGAACTGTAATCACATTACCCCAGAGTAATTAAATTAGCATCCATCCATTCGCTACCGCTTATCCTTTTCAGGGTCGCGGGGGGGGGGGCTGGAGCCTATCCCAGCTGTCATAGGGCGAGAGGCAGGGTACACCCTGGACAGGTCGCCAGTCTGTCGCAGGGTCAACACACAAGGACAGACAACCATTCACCCTCACATTCACTCGCACATTCACACCTAGTGACAATTTGGATTATCCAATTAACCTATCCCCACAAGCTGCATGTCTTTGGACGGTGGGAGGAAGCCGGAGTACCCAGAGGGAAACCATGCAAACACAGGGAGAACATGCAAACTCCACACAGAAAGACCCCGGCCTGATGGTGGAATTGAACTCAGGACCTTCTTGCTTGCGGCAATAGTGCTAACCACCGTGCCACCGTGCTGCCTAATTATTAAATATATATAATTAATTAGCAATGGTGACTAATTTCTTAGTCAACTAAATGAGGGAAACATATTAGAGTAAGCCACTGGTCTAAAACTAAGAAATACGGATATGGAGTTAAATTTGAGAACCGTTTAATGTCAACATAAGCCAGAGGTCACTAATAGGCGGACTGGGGTCCTGAGCTGCACCCACAAGCGGTCCCATATGGAACCGGACTTCCAGTAAAAACAGAAGGCAAAAATTTCAAAGCTGATAGGGTGCTTCTGTTTTAACTGGTCCAGCATTTTCTGGTCTTTACGGTAGTGGTTCAGTGGCTGAAGAAATGCACAGACCAGTTGGGTGCAACTTAAGCCACCCCATGTGATACCACTCAGCCAATGAACTCTGTATACTCCAGGCGGTAAATCTGACAGCTGAGACTTAGTTACACATGAAAAGACAGTGAAAAAGAAGAAAGACAGCGATGGAGAAAAAAGAAAAGGAGAAACACAGACAACTGTGTCTGAAAACTCTGAATAAAGAGAGACTGGTGGCACGAAACAATACGAACATGCTGTGCAAAAACAAAAAAGTGTACAGTGACAATAGAGCAACAGATGAATGCTGGGCCTCTGCAGATGCGATCTCCCAGCAGATGTGGACTCAAAAGAGCCATTTGCATAAGCCGACCTTCCACAGGTGTGAGGAAAGTCACCATGTTTGGCTCCACACACAAAAGCCAGGCAGTTTTCTCCGTTGTGAACATAATCAACACTAAATATTGTTTCCGACTCATCAGTGAGCTCCTCCTCATGCGTATCAGGATGGCCCTGATTCAAGCCTGGTTTAAAAATTCACTCTGACCGGAAAAGAGGGGGGTGATTAAATACGGAGAGGAATTTTCCACAAAAGGGTTGCAAATGCGTACGACATGACCCAAAAGCATAAACTAAGATTTACAGATGTGTGCAGTGATTTGTGTGTAACGTACGTCAATCCACACAAAAATTGGAAGCAATCTGAGCAAGAGTATAACTATTTTACAAACGCATACATCCAAACCTGAATAAATACTAATCATTTATGCATGATTTAAGTTCAGCTTCATGAATCCAATAATTGTTTTTTCAAAAAATGGTCTGTGCAAACAGTTACACGTCACACCTTTCATCAGTCAGAAAACCTTACAGAGTATAAAAGCGCTATATAAGACTCCGTCCATCTACCATTTACCATGACCTAAAAAGCCAATGGAGATGGTTTGGGATGAGATGGACCGCAGATCAAAGGCAAAAGGGCCAACAAGTGCTCAGCATCTCTGGAAACTCCTTTAAGACTGTTGGAAAGCCATTTCAGGTGACAACCTCATGAAGCTCCTCGAAAGAATGCCAAGACTGTGCAAAGCAGTAAGCAAAGCAAAGGGTGGCTGTTTTGAGGAATCCAAATTATTGAAAACATGTTTTGAGTTCACAAAACATGACCCATGTCTCAGGTGTACACAGCGGCCTCCTCCTGGCAGGATATCCCTGGTCGGACCACCTTACCCAGTTGGTGTCTACCTCGACTGGCTCCTTTAAATGTGGACGAGCATCGACTCTACTCTAAATCCTTCCCAAACAACTGAACTCCTCGCCCTATCGCTAAGGATTGTCTGTGATCTCACTCTTTTGCCTTTAAAAGAACTAGAAATAACAGTGGTGACTAAAATATGAGGCTGATTTTTGGCGTTTCTCACCTGGTGGCAGATGGTTCCATAAGATTAGGACACAACTATTTACCAGCAGTGGGGATTAATTCAAATGTAAAACAACTAGGTTAAATGACTCATATGTCTGGTACCGACTAGTGACAACAGTGAAGATTAGTTGTCCAGTCGACTAGTCGTGCACATCAACTTACATCAGGTTAATGATATTATAATTGAATTACTCATGGGTAATCAGAATACCCAAGAGTAACTGGATTTTGAAGCATAACTGTAATGAGATTAACAGTTATCACAATATTTGAACAGCCATATTACACACCCATAGTAATTAGATTACTAAATATAACACCCTATTTAACCAGGGTAATCTTACCTTGTACTCAGACTTTGGTTTTCGGAGCTCAGGAGCGTAGAGCCTGACAGACGAGTCAGTAAGTGCTAAAAACCCCAAAAAACAAATGTCAGTCTGAGCGAGACATCCAACCACCATACATCCTCTATCATCTGACTATCATTAATGACCATGCAACCACCAAACAACATCCAACCACCATCAGTCAACCAGTATTCACCCAGCCATTATCCAAGCGCCATCAAATCAGCATTCATTATTAATCGAACCATCAACCAATCACTATCCAAACATCATCCATCACCATCTAATCATCACCCACTATTTATACAACCATTATTTGACCTTTAAATACCATCCAATATTCATCCAACCACCAACCAACATCATTGCATATTCATCCAATCACCATTCAACATCATCCCATATTCATCCAATCACCATTCATTTATATACCCTGATATACATGACCCTGACTAGGTGAAATATCGTAAAAGTATAAGAACACCACCTGAGTCATCTGAGGACTCACCGTCACTGAAGGTCTGGAAGTTCCCTACCTTAGGTTTTCCTGCACAGAATCACATGACAACTGCAGTGAATCACATGATCAGGCTTCGGTCTATCTGAGTCATGTGACCGTCCTCACCTTTGAATAGAGAGCTCAGCGAGTATCCTGATTGGCTCCTACTGATCGATGGCGTGTCAGTGCTAATTTTGGGGAAGGCAGGCTCTCTATCTGCCCTCTGACTGGAGGCAGCTGTCTCTTTAACGGACCAGGAAATACCTGTGGACACAAGTATGACAGGTAACCACCCTATAACCAATCAAATCTCAGCATTCTCCAAAGGAGTGACCAATGAGGAGAATGTAGGGGTCTTACTGCCGACTGGCTCGCCACTCCAGCTGACCCTCTCGACATCATCTTCGTCATCGTCTTCCTCCACCAGCCGCCGTATATTGTTTACGGCCTGCCGAGACTCCTTCAACTGTTAGACAACAACACCTAAAAATCACACCTGAGAGCCACATCAAGTCAATGACACACATGCAGGGCTAGAACAATTCACTCTGGCTTCTGGTTCTGGAGGTCTTACCCTGCTTAACTCATCATCTTCATCATCGAAGGTGAACGCTTTAAACTTGGAGCTGTGCCAGTAGTCTTCCTCGTCAACTTTACTCTTAATCATCTGGACATAAAGAGTTAGTGACTCTTTATTTAAATTGTCAACACAGAAAGGAAGGAAGCTATTAGCTGGTAAGACACAGCCTGCATCACATGATGTCATTCTTTTTCTCCTTATTGATCATGTGATGAGATCACAGGTCAGGAAGTGGCGCACAGTGAGAAACACTGTCTCAGCATATGCTAAGCTTTTCATATTTTTCATTTTCAGTGTGTATTATTAGCACTATTATGTTATTGGTCAAAAAAAATCTGTTAAACATTACTCATTACTTTTCATAAAGTACGTTACTTAATTACTCGCTAAAGAAAGTAATTTATTACACTACTTGTTACATTACTTTCTCATTACTCCAGAAATGACCTGAAACAACTGTCACACATTTACTTTTAACAGTATAAACCTGACACAGATCTCTATCCTAATGAGGATACAATTTTTACACATAAACACAAAGTAAAACCAAAAATCGGCCAAAGCACACTGCAGAGTGGTTGCCAGGGTGATTCTACAGTACACACATGGACAGGTAGAAACAGACGCTGCAGCCTGACTGCTCATTACTGTCTTTGTTACATGATGAAGTTCAGGCTCTGGCTGCTGGGTTCGGGTCTGCATACAACTCAGCTTTAACATCACTCTGCGCTCTTGGCTAGCTTTGTGTTAGCATGCTCTCAGTGCAGATGTTATCAGATGTTGTGTTAACAGAATAATGCAGTTGTTTCTTTACTGAATGTAGTTTACTCTTTACCATCGCGCTCTTGTTCTTTTGTGCATTCAAATCTAAAGGCCTGTCCATATCCCCACCCCTCAGCAGCTGTAGACCATGCCACCATTTTTCTCTTCCCACTCAAAAACTGAAATCAGCTTTGACTGTAGCATGAGTGCACAAAGAAAAGCATTTGTCTGATGTTCCTTTCACCTACATATCCTTTAAAGTCCGCTCCAATCACCACGCTAACCGTGTGGGAACACTCTCTACCACTTCACACCTTTTGACTTTTAGCTTCAAAATCATGATCCTTTTTCAGACTCTCCTTACTGCCACAACCCTATTTACATATTCTACCTCGAACATTACCACTACTTTCTTTCTCTTTCCATCTACACCAAGGTACAGCAGAATCCACCTCCACTGCTCCTGGCCTTTGCTGGTCTCTCATAGTATATCTACCCTCTTTCCCTTTCCCATCACAGTCCCAACACTTAGAGTCCTACTCTCACCTACACACTCCTGCCTTTCCTTCTGTCTCGCTGCCTCCTAGTCCTAACATGCCCTCTCAGAAGGACCTGGACTTTAGGAGGATGAGGAATCCTGTGACCCCTGTTTCAATCCAGGGAGTCGATGTGGACTTTGTGGAGGACTATAAATACTTTGGAGTACACACAGACAATAAACTGGACTGGGTTAAAAACACCACTGCACTCTACAGGAAGGGCCAGACGTGTCTCTGAGGTCTTTCAACATCTGTCGGACAATGCTTAGGATGTTCTATGAGTCTGTTGCCGCCAGTGCCATCCCATGCTGTTGGGTTGAGGGTCACAGATGCCAACAGACTAAATAAACTGATCCCCAAGTCCAGTAATATTGTGAGGATGGAGCTGGACTCCCTTAGGGTGGTATCTGAGAGGTGGATGTTGTCCAAGATAAGGACAATGCTGGATAATACCTCCCACCCATTCCATGATGTGCTGGCCAGTCCCAGGACCACGCTCAGTGAGAGACTGCGATTACCCATAAGGCACCACTGAACGACACAGGAAATCATTCCTGCCTGTGGATATCTCCGTACAACTCCTCCATCTAATGCACAATGCAGAAGTTACACCCTTCTGCACATCCTGTACAGTAAAATAACAACGTTTTACAGGACAGAGTAAAATGTCAATCATGTATATGTCATGTCTCTAATATTCTTGATATTTATGAATATATTTGTATACATTAGAGCTATTTCTTATATTTTGTAAACATCCATCCATTCGCTTCCGCTTATCCTTTTCAGGGTCACGGGGGGCGCTGGAGCCTATCCCAGCTATCATAGGGTGAGAGGCGGGGTACACCCTGGACAGGTCGCCAGTCTGTCGCAGGGTCAACACACAAGGACAGACAACCATTCACTCGCACATTCACACCTAGTGGCAATTTGGATTATCCAATTAACCTATCCCCACAAACTGCATGTCTTTGGACGGTGGGAGGAAGCCGGAGTACCCGGAGGGAACCCACACAGACACGGGGAGAACATGCAAACTCCACACAGAAAGACCCCGGCCTGATGGTGGAATTGAACTCAGGACCTTCTTGCTTGCGGCAACAGTGCTAACCACCGTGCCACCATGCTGCCCGTTATTATTTTGTAAACATTGTAATATATTATATTATTTAATTTAGTTTAGTCTGTTACTGTTATTGTCTTGGAGCAACTGTAACAACATAATTTCCTTAGGGATTATTAAAGTATTCTGATTCTCCCTCTCCTCTTCCTTCATCTTCAATAGTAGTCAGTAGTAGTAGCCAATAGTAGCCCAGTTTGCACCTGCTGGCCAGCAGAACCCAGTCAGTCATTGTTAACCCGGGCCTGACCGATCCGGTATGGAAATCTGATTTTTTATGGCCTGCATGCCTGATCCGGATGTCCTTCCTGAACCCTCCACATTTACCTAGTCTGGGCCCAGAGGTGGGAAGTAACGAATTACAAATACTTCAGCAGAATCTTCAGGTATCTGTACTTTACTTGAGTATTATTATTATTTATTTATTTTTACAACTTTTTACTTTTATCCCTACATTTTATACAAATATCTGAACTTTCTACTCCTTACATTTTCAAAACGGCTCCTTACTTTAGTTTTAACACATCTGAGGGGAGTAATTATTTTATATCACTGCGAACCTTCATAGTCATCGCCAGGGGTGTCCATGAATTGTGTTTGCGGTACTTCAGCATCTAGCTAGCCCTGCTGAAGAGGAGCGAGCATAAAGGGAGTAACGTTTTTTTAAGTGTCAGGCAGTTTGAAATGCAGCATTTCTATCAGCTCAACAAACATCAGCAAACATATAAAAACTGTTTGTGTGCAGTTTGTCCCACAGTGTGTTACAGCTAAAGGTCCAGCTGCATTTCACAGGGAGAGAAAAAGATAAACAGGTTGGTTTTCTGCACTGTGGTGGATACAGTAAAGGTGCACAGATGCTGTGGTTTCATTTCGGTTAGCTTACATCAAGTGTAGCAGAGATTCATATGAATTTCAGTTGATGATGTTTGTATAGTGTCTAACATAAAGACAACATAAACAGTGTACTGTCAGTGTAGAGGATGAAATCAGCTAGGACAACTCAGGAAACATCGGCTCACATCTTGTTGAATTCAGGTGTATACATCCATAAAGAGCAGCAGATCAGCTGATCACAGCCTGTACATTAAGAAAATCTACTGAAGCTCTCAATAGAAATTATTGTGCGATATGATTCGTTCCCACACCTAACCACTACAATTTCGCGGGGTTGCTGGGAGTTGTAGTGCGCTGCAGTCTGCCGTAGCCCGTGTTGGTTAGCCTGATCCCGGACCCACATCTGCTATGCACGTGTGCGTTTTCTAGTAACGAGCTCGGAAAAAAAAGCGTCTGGATTTCTTTAAGTTGCTTGAAGACATTTCACCTCTTATCCGAGGAGCTTCTTCGGTTCTAGGGTCAAACTGAAGAAGCTTATCAGATGAGAGGTGAAACGTCTTCAAGCAACTTAAAGAAGTCCAGATGCTTTTCTTTCCAAGCTCCTTAGACTACGATGACCTGGATGACTGAGAACCTTTACAGACACGTTTTCTGGTAACAGCTGCAGGTTTGTTATTAGCATGTTAGCATTAGCTAGCTAAATGAAAAATCCGCATATTAGTGTTTTTAGTGACAAACGGTGGGAATGTGACGTCACTCCGCAGGTGTCTAATCTGTAGACATCAAGCACAAACCGCTGGTTGTAAACCTGATAATCGATGAGAATCAATCAGCTGTTTGTTTGTTTTTTTTACCTTCACCTGCTTCTTCGTCCCTTTCTCTTTGACCGAGGATGCTTCCGGCTGCGCGAAGTTTGCTGGGAGCTGTAGTACGCTGCACCAGGAAGTCCATTTTTGATCTAATCAATAATTCGATTAAAGGAGCAGGAAACCAGACAGATATTCTTTTTAATTTGATTGTCTTAAAACATCACATAAACCAGAGGAGTCGTTCTTCTAAAAATGGATCTGATTGGTCTGTTACATTCAGCATCAGTGATGTGACTGTCAACAGATTGGTTGCAGACATCAGCTGATTTATTTCCACCTGGGAGGCTTTAGGTTATTATCACCTGAGAGCAGCGTGCAGGTATAGCTCTGCTGGTTCTCAATCTGGGAGCAAAGACCCACAGCTGGCCTCAAGGTAACTGTCGGTCCCAGGTCCTCTGTGCTTTTACTTTGACAGTGCTAAGAGGAAGTGGGCGTTTCATTTTTCAGCTGGTGTCAGGCTTAGGGTTTTACCAGTGTGAGCAGCAGTGTCTCATTGGCCCTGTATTGATCAGCGATCGTGATGGCTAAGTGGGGTGAAGGAGATCCTCGATGGATAGTAGAGGAGAGAGCTGACGCCACCAACGTCAACAACTGGCACTGGTCTGTTCATCTTCATCAATGCTACCATCACTGCAGTACTCATTATACTACTATTATTATTACTACTACTTATTTATTGTAATAAATATAAACTGGTCCATGTGGCAGACAGACAGACTGATGAAGGTAGAATTCAGGTAATGCTGTTGCTATAGAAGTTGCTTCAGCTCAGTGATAGAAAACGCGCAAGAAGTTAATTTTTGAGTAATCTTTGGGGCTTCCTGCAGGTAACTGAGGGCACTGGCCTCATTTCCATGGTAACAGCCTGAATGTCATGACTGAGTAAGAAGAGGACATTTCCAGAATGATCTCAGTGTGTATGTGATACTGTAGGATGAGCTATTTTAGACTCTCAGTGTGTGTTATGTGAGCCGCAGCTGGTTCAGCACGTTTGGAGGTATTTTTGAACTCTGTGATGTCAGAGGTGGGCGTGATTTGGTACCCGCTGACCCTCCTCTCTCCCCTGGTCAGGACAGAGCGAGATGTGTCCTCCTGGTCCTCGGAGTGCCTCCATCAGTTGCTGCTCGGTGTGCAGGTGGAGGGACCTGAGGGTGTCTGCCATCTGACCGAAGTCACTAAGCTGGAGGGAGAAGCTTCCATCAATAACCGCAAAGGGAAGCTCTTCTACTTCTACGAGTGGCAGCTGAGACTCAGCTGGCTGGGTCAGTGATCTCACTGATGATGTCGTCCATCCATTCATCATGGGAGACCATCTCAATTTGGTTCATGTGACTGACTTTAACCTTCACGTAGATGCTGTAGATATGGGGTCTCAAACTCACAACCCAGGGGCTACTTGCTGCCCCGTATATTGACAGTTTGATCCTTGAAGTGACTTTTTTTTTTTGTTAAAATGAGTTATTTAAGAAGCCAAAAATGATTTAATATGAAGGCAATATGAGCAGAGAGTACAAATATGCTGAGGGATTGGCTCTGTTAGTTCAGTGAGAGAGTCAAAAACTAATGTGTACACTTATGTCTGCATATTTGTTAAATATGAACAAAATGATAGTAGAAGTGCTGCCATGTGTCTGGCCAGGTAGAGAGTACTGATGTGTTTATTTGGTGGTTCAATGAAGGGCTTCAGTTAAGAGTGAGAAAAAAAAACGTTTTGTCTTGTTATACAATATTTGAAATTTAAAAATACAACACTACATTTTAGAAAATATTTGTGTGTGTTTTCTTATTTGTTTGATTTGTATTACTTGAACACTGAAGTGGCCCTCCAATAAGATGACAGTGCCAGCAGTGGCCCATAGCTCATTTAGGTTTGAGACCCATGCACTAAACCTTTTAGCCAAAGTTCTTCTAGAAGCACGTCGCACAACATGGCAGCTATCATGATGATAACTCTCGGAGCATGTTTGAGCAGTTATTTTGAAATATTATCAGCGTTAACCCTAACTTCAGTGGTCACTGGGGAAAAACTGTAAAGAATCTTCATTGTGAGTGTTGAATAGTCAGGTGTTCATGCTTTACTTTTATTGAGCAACAAATTATTTTTCCTGCTAAATGAAGATCTTCTAAATCAGCAAGACACCATTTCCTCTTTAGCTCACAGGTTATCTGGTTGAAAATGCACATTATTCATTTATACCAGGGAGTCAAGTGCTTTTGATTTCAGTCTTTCTTTTTCAGAATCAGGTAACATTTTAAACAAGATAATCAATCTCTATGGGAGTAGAGTTCAAGCAGTGGCTCTGCATTGTGTTGGCACATGGTATTGAAAAAATATAATACTGAAGAGTTCTTCCCCACTGCTGTGTAAGCCATTATTGTAAACCAGGAGTCTTTGCTGATGATATTAATTATAACTACTAAATCTACTCTTATCCTGAATGAAAGGTTTCATTTTGACTCAGTGTCACCCGCTCTGGCCCTTGGAATACATTTGACTATGACTGCCAGAATCTCTAGCCACGTGTACAGCGGGGATTTTAACATAGGGTTGCTCTTTTTCTGTAGTGCCAACTGTTTTCTGTGTGCAGGGATGTCCTGCAGGGGAGTGAAGTTCAGAGGAACTATTGATGTGTCCAACCTGTCTGACGAGAATGACGAGGATGACCTGGATGTGAGTTTGACTTCTGATTCTGATCACATACCCTGCAACCCAGTGATGACTGCACAGATGAGTGTATTGATAATTATGTTGCTATCCAGATCTGCGTGGCTCTCTGTAAAGACCAGCCCAACACACCTCTCCTGGACCTCATGAAGACCTCCGGCATCCAGGAGGTTCGCAGGGTTCTGGGCGAGTATGTCCAGCGGCTCAAATCAGGTGTGTTACCTAGAAGACATCAGGCAGTTTCTGACCATAAGGAGTTTTTAGAACTGTTCGTGGGTGTCTCCTCTGTGTCTCTTAAGTAGATCGGTCAGTAACTATCAAAGCCTTTTAGGGGTGGGTCTAAACAGGAAAAAGCTAGAAGTAATGTGGAAACTTGAAACCATTAAAGTTCTGTGAAATTCAGTTAAGAATACTGCTGATATGAGGGGGTGAGTTACTGAGACAACCAGAGTCTACAATTAACTCTAGCACCCAGCAATCCTGTCAGAGTCTGGCTGAGGCAGACTGTATGTATTGCGAAAAATAACTCAAATGCAGACCAAAACAGAATGTGAAACGTGACATGGAATAACAAAACCGAGCCGTTTATTAAGGCTGGCAAAGAAGTACAAAACAAAAGACAAAGGTGAAACTAAACAATAAACTAAACTGGGTGAATTAAGATTAAAGCATGAAAAAACCTTCAACATGAAACCTGGCATGGAGACATGGAAAAAAAACCTGGATGCATGACGTGAAAACAGCAGACGACCTGACAAGAAATGACTGAAAACACACAGACTAAGTACACACAGGAGGATAATGAGGGAAGTGGAAACACATGGGGAAACAAGTGAGGATAACGACATCACAGGGGAAACGTAAAGCTAAACACATAGAACACAGGAACACAGAACCTCTTCAAAATAAAATGGGAAAGATAATGAAACGCAGATGTGTCAAGTTCATGTTGTCACAACAAAAGACATGAAGACATGAAACACATAAAGGACAAGGGATACTTAATACAGGGGTTGAAAACTTAAGGGGAAACTAATAAACAAATTACCTTAGAAAACCCAATGAACTTAAACATAAACCATAAACATCCAAATTAACAAAAACTCAAAACGCTGGGTAAAAAGACCCAGGATTGTGACACATCCACTACAAATGCATGTGAGCAAAACACGTTAAATCTAAGTGGAGCTTTAGTACTCTGTTTTGAGCTTCTCCTGGTGGTTGGAACGTTTGTAGTTTCAGCCCTCAGCAAGCCATTACTCTGAGACAGTCCCTAAAACGCTTCATTATGAAATTTACACCTGTAAAGATCAGCCAGGGAGATGACCCATGGGGTAACTGTGACCTCTGATCCCACAGAGTTTGGTCAGGGAATGATTCTTCCCACCACCAACGCACTGAAGCAGCATTCATCTGTGTCGACCAAGAAGAATGAGGTTAAGACCAATAAAACCCAAGTAGGATGCTCCTCCTGTCCTGACTTAGCTCCTGTTCAGCCTCACTGTTGAAGTGCTGACCTTTGATTTTTCTGTGTTGTCCTGCAGATTAGCCCCGCCCCCAAGTGCTCCTCCAGTACCGCCCCCTGTCCCACAGGTGATCGTAACCAAACCTGCAGTTTCGATCTGAAAGAAACATTCCAGACCAACGCTCATGAACTCTACAGGACATTCATCAGCCAAGAGGTACTCGAACAGACTAGGAAGGACCAGACGAAATCAGAACAGACCAAGAAAGACAAGAACACGTTATAAATGACGCCCTATGAAAGACCCTGTTCAATTTATCTAAATGAGTCATGACCAGCCAGCAAGAAAAACTTTGTTTGATTAAAATCAGGTCAAATCTAGGCTAAAAATTGGTGTCAGACTTTTACGAGTTCAGTATGAATCCTAGGCCTGAAACTGACTGAAACCAGACAATGAAAACAGAAATACAATTAACCAGGTGATCAGAACTGGGCCCCGGCATTACCTGAAATTAAGCTGACACTATCCACTCTGCCATAGCCCAGTTACAGACTTAGCACCTGAGTGCCTTCATTGCAATCTTGGGGAACTTCAACCATGTCATCTTGGACCCGCTAATCTTTATGCAGACATTCCAGGCCACAGCACTTGCCTGCCAGTGGCCTGAGGAGGAGTGGGCTTCCAGGCTTCTGCCGCTGCTGTCAGGGGAGGCACAGATGGCGGCCCAGCCTGCCCCCGGCGTCCCGGGGTGTCTTTGAGGATGTTTGCAGGGCAGTATTGGATTGGCTCGGGTTCACCCCGGAGGACTACCGGAGGCGATTTCGGGCTAGTCAGATGTCAGCGGGGGAGCAGCCGTTCACTTGGGCTCGACAGCTGGAGGACACGGCGGCGAGCTGGCTGCGTCCGGGGCCAACACTGGCGGAGGACCAACCTGCCGGCAGGACCGCCGCCGGTACTGCGGCAGGGGGGGGGGCCCTCAGAGCGTCAGCTGCTGTTGTCTGCAGCTCAGGGGAGGGGAGGCGAGATCAGCAGGACGGAGAGAGGCATGTCGCATCCCATTTTGGGCACAGTTCCACAGCTTACTGGGGTAATAAACTGGGTGAAATCGCAACCAGTAAATTTGTGTAATGTTTGCCCGGCACTTAGCAGTGACACTGGGTCGACTGATACTGACTCTGGGGGGGAGGAGGTGGCGGGAACCTCTACAGAGGCCCCACTGCCTCCGGTTATGCACCCCACAGAAGATTTTTCCCTAGAGCAGTCTCGGGATGACACCCTACGCTCAGCCTATGACCAGGTGATAGATATTGATGGTCTGCTGGTGCACCCTGAAGCCTCGCGGACTTACACCCATTTCCAGTTACGGAACGATCGGCTTTATCGAGTGAGTCTTGACACTCGCACGAATGAGATCTGCACCCAGTTGTTGGTGCCACAAAGCCGCCGGGAAACATTTTCCAGGCGGCTTATTCAAACCCCATGGCAGGGCATTTAGGATGCAAGAAAACTCTGGAGCGCATAATGGCCTAATTCTATTGGCCGGGTATTTGGGCCGATGTGCGCCGCTGGTGGTGCCCAGAATGCCAGCTGGTTAACCACCCAGCCATTCCAAAGGAATGCGCCCATTACCGCTGATGGAGATGCCGTTTGAGCGCATTGGTATGGATATCTTCGGGCCATTCCACCGGAGTGCACGCGGCTATCGCTTTGTGTTGGTGCTGGTGGTTTATGCAACGTGATACCCGTAAGCAGTACTGCTGCACACCATTTCAAGAGTGTGGCCCAGGCATTGTCTTGCGAGTCGGTATTCCGAAAGAAATGCTGACTGACCAGACCACGTCGTTCATGTCTCGCACTCTGAGGGAGCTATACAAATTACTGGACATTAAATCTATTCGGACCAGTGTCTAATACCCTCAGACTGATGGGCTGGTGGAGCGGCTGAAAAAGACTTTAAAGTCCATGATTCTTAAGTTTATTCACGAGGATGAACGAAATTGGGATCGGTGGCTAGACCCCAGGCCTCCATGGGATTTTCTCCCTTTGAGTTACTGTATGGCAGGTAGCCGCAAGGGGTGCTCGACTTGATTCAAGACAACTGGGAGGAAGGGTCGAGCCCCACAAAGAATAAAATTCAATACGTGCTGGGCCTGAGAGCAAAGCTGCACAGGTTGGGGTGGTTATCACGGGAGAATTTACTCCAGGCCCAGCAACATCAGCAAAGCTTGTACAACAGAGGGGCTAGGCTCAGGCAATTTTCACCAGGAGACAAAGTGCTTGTATTACTACCATTCTCCAGCTCGCCAAGTGACGAGGGCCCTTTGTGGTCACACAGCGAGTGGGGGACGTTGACTATGAGGTTGACCAGTCAGACAGGAGAGGAGCGACGCAAATTTACCACCTCAACCTCCTTAAAGCATGGAGGGAGGCTGAAACCACTGCTCTGTTGAGCAGAGAGATGAGTGTGGGCCGGAGGTGCCAAATTCCACCATCCCCGCCTCCCTCCATTGTGATGACCACTCACACAGGCCCAGAGAGCAGATGTTGCTGCACTGCAACAGCGCTTTGCTGATGTGTTCTCCCCCTGCCCGGCCGAACGTCTCTCATAGAGCACCATATTGAGACACACCCTGGCGTGACAGTGGGTTCATGGCCCTACAGGCTCCTGGAGCATAAAAGACAAATTGCTGAATTGCAGAATTGAACAATATGCTGAGGCTAAAAAGTAGCCCCATAGTTATATGATATATAAGATATATGCCCATAGTTCTTGTGGTGAAGAAAGATGGGTCTATACGGTTCTGTGTGGACTACCGCAAGGTGAATGAGGTGTCACGTTCGATGTGTACCCAATGCCCCAGGTCGACGATCTCCTGGACTGGTTGGGCACTGCTTGTTTTTTCACGATGCTGGATTTAAACAAGGGCTACTGGCAGATTCCCTTGTCTGCAGAGCAATCTTCCCTCTTAGAGAGAAGTGGTGCTTCAAAGGATAGTTGCAGATTTCTGTCAGAATGTGGAGATAATACAGTACAAATAAAATGTTCACGTTTCTCCAACGTTGTCTTCCCAACAGTTTCACTAACATCTACACTGGATGGCCAGGAAGCGTTCGCGATGTCTTATCGGGCGCATTTCCGGCGCTGATAATTGGCATCTGTCTTGTGTCAGTGACATAAAAGACGGATTTAATGCGGCATGACCATTCAAACAGCAGTCGCTTTCAGATATGTATTGGATTCAGTAGCACATATGAAAGTGACCCAGGTCGGATTTGAAAATATCGGATTTGTGCTGTTCACACTGTCATACCATGATCGGATATGGGTCGCATAGGGTCAAAAAAGTCGGATATGATGCGCTTTCGCGTGCAGTATGAATGTAGCCTTAGATGGTGTTTTCCTTGTAGCTGCGTACAGCAAACATGGGGGAGGGTCTGTGCTGGCGGACGTTGGTTACTGGCCTGGTAGCCTGGCTGCCCCTGGGTGGGTCCGGGACGGGCTTGGAGGCTTGTGGTTCTGGGGGTGCTCCGCCCCTGGGCTGGGGCTCTCTGGCTGGGCCTTGGGTCCTGGTTGTTGTGTTGCCGGGGTGGTGGGCGGGTGCATCAGCCCAACTGTAGGGCTCTCTAAATGGCCTGTATTTATATAGCGCTTTACTAGCCCCTAAGGACCCCAAAGCGCTTTACATATCCAGTCATCCACCCATGCACACACTGGTGATGGCAAGCTACATTGTAGCCACAGCCACAGCCCCAGCCCCTCCCTTTCTTCCCTCCCCATCCTCAGCTGCCTCCCTCTTCCCAATCGACCACACACACGCAGGACTTGGGGTGCAGGTGTGTCACCAGGGTGCAGGGGAGGCACTCCCCCTCTGCCCCCTTCTGGCCGCCTGTCCCTCAATTTTAATCCGCAACCTAGACAACCACATTACTCAGGTTTGGGGTCTTCACTCACCCCGCGTTCTGTTAACCATCGGGGCTGGGGGGCTGGGAGGAGGTGCTGGCCGTCGGATTGGGGTCTGGGATGCGGGGCCTCCCTGCTACTGCAGATAAGGAGGCGGTCTGCCTTCCTCTACCCCAGTGAGAAGGGTTACATCTCCTGGGTCCAGGTATGGTTTGCCCCTCTGGGGGCGGGGGTACCCGGACCTGGGATGTAGAGTATGTTTGGGGAGTGTGAATGTGTGTACAGTGCCTATTTGTGTCTGTCTCCACGTCGGGTGAGTGCCGAGTATTTGTTTGTGTATATGGGGGTGGGAATGCATGTTTGTGTCTGCGTACGCCTCTTTGTCTGTGTCTATATGTCAGCTGGGACCTAGACTCCACCTCTCTGGGAACATCTCAGGCTCTCCGAGGTATGGAGGCCTATCTCCCCTCACCACACTCCCTGCCAGTAGCTGATGCCCTCAGACGTTGGTGTGTTGGTGGTTCTTGGTGTCTGGGGCTGGGCGCTCATGTATGTACCAACTCACTCCTGGTGGCCGATTGGCAGGACCTGGCGACTGTGGCCCGGCTGGGCCCCTTCCGGTGGGTGGGGTACCCTCAGGCCTCTGGGCCTGAGGCCCGGTCCTCTCTGGCACAGCTGGCTGCCTGCAGAGTCCGCAGGCACGTCACTGCAACCCCCTCTGGCCTCTGCTCCGTGGCTGCTGGGTGACCTCTCGTTTGGGGCTCTCCTCAGCTCTTCCCAGGAGGGTGGCACAGTTGCCCCCCTGGTGGTCCTCCATGGGTCCTCGTATTCTGGGACCTCTGGATGTCTGGGGCCTGGATCTCCTCCATACCTGCTTCATGCCCTGGGGGACGGTGCTGTGGCTCCCCACACTTCCTAGCAGATCGTTACATGGAGAAACCTTTTGAATTCAAGCATGCCGATCCACACAGGTGTACACACGGGTTTTCACAGACACACACTTCACCTTTCTTGGCTGCTACCTCAAAGCACATTGTGCGCTGTCGGTCTTGCGTACTGCACAATAACATGTCATATTTAGTATCGACTGTTATCTGCTGTTAGCTACTTTATTGTGATTGTGTTGTATTTATTATGTTGTTTTTTGTTTGTTTACTCTTCTGTTTTTTCTTATCCCCATACAGGTGATCCAGGTGTTTTGTTTTGTTTTTTTCTTCCCGCCTTTCTCACCATCTCTTCTCCCCTCTATTTTTCTTTCTCTCCCTCTCTTTCTTTCATCCTTCCTCCTTCTATCCCCCAGTCATGTCTGTCCCGTCTGTAACAACCGAAAATCAAATCAAATAAATACATAAAACTGGACAGTCAGAACCAAGATCGTCTGGTTCTGAGACCAGAAAAACTCGTCACCACTGTCAGTTTCTTTATTGTGAAGGAATGTTTGTCTTATTGTTTGTTTGTATTGAAATACAGGATCAACAAACACACACAATTACATACACACACACAGCTGGTTTTAACGTCAATACAAAAGCGTCTAAAAACCTCAGTAGGAGGATCAATAAAAATGATCACGGATCAATTAAAGGGCAAATAAAAACCGATCAGTAACTCATTCCCTTGACACTGGTTATTGATCTGTGAGATATGGATCAGCTGCCTTGGCTCTGGAGCCTGGATGGAGTTTCTTCAGTTGGGTCAAAAGGTCAGCAAGCGGAGTCAAAAGATCTCCTCCTCATCTGCATCACAACCGTAATCTGGATGACGCAAATCAATAAAATCAATGAAATCAATCAATGTTACTGTAATGATTTTGAGAATAAAAGTCTGGACTAACCTCCCACCAGCTGCAGAGCGCTAACACACTCCTCCTCCTCCTCTTCCTCTTCCTCCTCCATGGGGGATGGAGCAGTTGGGAGGGTGGGGCTTGTTTCTGCTGCAGAGTCAAGGGGTGGGTTGGACTCAGTCTCTGCTGGTGTTTCTGTTTCTGTAACCACTGTGACTGTTCTCTCTACCTGAAAGATTAACATCAGGTAAACCAGGTAAGAGGGAGTAACAGGTACGAGAGGTGAGGAAGGACACACAGGTGAGACATGCAAGGAGGATGCGCACCTGATGAGCTGTTTTCTTCTTCTTTGGTGTGGAGGAAATGAGGTGGCGGAACCTGAAAGAGCAGGAGAGAGAACATCAGGATAGCGTGGAGGACAGGTTGAAGAATATTCATTACTGATGACAGGTTATTGAGAGATCAGATCAGTTGAGATACCTCTTGCCCATAATGCTGGTGTTGGCTGCAAGGTCTTGGTTACTGTCACTGGTCTTCCTGCGCCGGCGGCGGTTGAGTCGTTTTCGTGCTACGGTGGTATCGGGGGTGTGGTCGGGGGACCTGGTCGGACTTCCTGTTCCTCGGTTAAGATCTCTAAGGACATCGTAGTTGATCTTACTGGAGATCTTCTTCTTCTCTAACATTCTCTCAATCGCCTCGCCCGCTGTCAATGCCTCAATCTGCTCCCGCTTCTTAGACTTCTTCTTCTTCTGACAAAATATTCACCACATGGGGTCACAGATTAGGTGGGTGGAGCTTTAGGTGAGGCTCTTGAGTGGATGCTGGTTTCACTCACCTTCTCCTTGTAGGTGCCCTCCTCCTTCTCTTTGTTTATCCGCTCCTGTTTCTCTGGAAACACAAAAACAAATCAATCAGAATCAGTAATCAATAACACCCATCAATGATTGCTGATGAGCACCTTTCTGCTCCTTCAGGTATTCGGCGTTCTGCTTCATCCACAGCTCCGTCTTCACCTGAACCTCCTTCTCATTTAGGATGTACTGTATCACACAGAACAGGCCAATCAGAAAAGAGCACGTGCAGTTGGGTCCTTTCACAGTAAAAGTTGCTCAGGTATCTTTGTACCTGTAGAACTGTGAACTGACCTTATCGATCTCTTGATCATCAATACCTTCCAGGTCCAGCTCCTCGCTCTGTGGGTGGTCACCTGAAGGTAAACGCAGAGCTTGATTTCTAACTGCCCTATGATCTAATGGTGATGTCACCATTCTGTTACAGTCGTTATCCTCACCGAGATCTTTCTCGCCACTCTCTGATGTGTCCGAGGTCTGGAAAGTCTGCTGGAGGCTCAGGCTGGCGGCGCTTGGCAGTTTTCCCAGAATGGAGGTCAGAGAGGCAGCCTGACGGTGTGGTCCCATCGACTCCTTCTCTGGCTCTGCCACCGGATCTCCCTTCATGCCACGTACCTCCTCCTCCTGGATCACCTGACACAGGAAGTCCTCAGTCAGGTGGTGGGTGGCCGCTTGTAATTCCACATCTTCGCTCTCAACCTCCTCGGGCTCTGATGGCATTGACAAAACCTCGCCGTTGTCCTCGGGGTCTGAAAACAGAAAAGGTGGGAGCAGCTGAGTGACTGTGTGGGCATGGTGAGACAGTCAGGTAACCCAAAGAACTGACCAACTTCTTTGGTGTAAGCGGCGTAGATTCCTCTGAGTTTGGGCCGACTCTTCTCCAGCTCGGTTTCAATCTCGTCTTTGTAGCAGCTGATCTCTCCTGATGATGACAGGAAATGCACTGTGATTCAAAGATTCAATACGTAACCCCCTCTCATCTGAGGCAGCCCACCCAGGTAAAAAAGACAAACTGACCTTCGACCTCATCCAGTTTCTTAGCCAGCTCCTGCTCTAACTGCAAGAAACCAGGAAGCACAGAGTGGTTAGCTAATTGGACACCTAGCTGCTGCAGCCAATCAGAGACAAAGATGTACCTGCTGCATTTTGGCTTTGTGCTGTGCAGCAGTGAATGAGGGGGGGTCGCACTCCTGCTCCAGATCTACTCTCATGAACTCATCAATGGTCAGCTGACTGGTGGGCGTGTCCTCAAACTCAGTTAACCTGCAGGGAGGGAAAGGCGCTGAGATCTGCTTCCTGTTTTGGTGGGGGTCAGGTGTATTCAGGTGTTTGTGGGGCTCACCTCTTCCTCAGTGTGGTCTGGCAGACCTTCACCACGCCAATCACGTCCTTCACTGAACGCCGAAACTTATGCATCCGAGCTGCTACCAGGAGTGCTGAGGAGGAGGAAGAGAAGGAGTGTTAATGTCTGCTTCATGCACATTGCCGCTGACGTTTGTTGCTATAGTGACAAATTCCAGGTTGCACCTGCTCCACAGAGTCCAGAGGGTCGGCGTCCTGTGTGCATCCAGTCCCTCTTCATCCTCTGTACAAGACGAAGAGCCGTCATGGAAACCTCATGAGTCTTCGCCCCAAACTCCAACATGTGCGCAAAGCGAGGAATGTACAGACAGGGGTCTGAGGAGGGGAAGGAGTGCTTCAATGTTAATAAACGTGGCCACACAGGGTCAAAGTTCATCAGCAGGCAAAAGATCGCTTTTTTGTTGTGGCATCAGCAGAGATTTATAAACAGTATTCAAACTTAAGTTCAACTTAAGTTAAAGGCCTTGTGTCCAGCTCCGCCCACTACATTTACTGTTGACTGTTAAATCCAGAACTGAATCAGCTTTCTGGGATTTCTTTACCTGAATGATTGAATCCGCATCAGGGCTCTGTAAGTTAGCTGTGAGTTACACTGATCACACATCATATCAGAGACTGCAGAAACTATGTGGGAGATTCCCCTCATGACTGCAAACCCTCAATAATCACCAAGGATACTGAAATTACACCGCACGTGAGGTGTGTTCACACTATCCCAGTGTTCAGCATCCACTGAGCCGCTTCTGCACTCAGAAGCTGCATTTCCGTGTGTGTGTGTGTGTGTGTGTGTGAGTGAGAGAGACTGCTTGTTAACACGCTTAGTATTTTTTTTTTCTTCATAACAGTGGCTTGGACACAGACATCACCACACACTGTACGTAGCAAACATAAACATACGGACACACTTCCGTGTTTGGTGTTCATGAAAACATTTGCGGTTGCTCGATGGCTGCGTTCTTTTCCCGCGCTCTGCTGCCCTCTTGCAGTGCGGAGCGGTGGTGAAGGCGGTACTACAGTGTAAGATGGCGGCCGGAGGCAGGCTGCAGCGATCTGCTCGTTTTTAACGTTTACAGCGGAAGGACGCGGGGACGGCAGACGTCACACAGGTAACCCGCATACCAAAGCTCCATGACACGCGCCACAGGTCCAACGCTGAGAATCTGGTACGTGATCGGTACTCAGAGCTGTGATTAGTGATGATCGATTGTTACCGGACAGAGACCCGATCTCCTGTTCGCTGAAGATAAACAGATGTGGTGGGCGTGGCTTTCTGGGCCACACTGATGTTAATAATAACAGCGGTCTGCTGAATCCACACCTCTGCGGGTTAGATACTGTTTATTAGCTGGATCCATGTTAGTGATCAGAGATCAATGACCGCAGCGCAGACAGGTGAAGCATTACAGACCGCCTTAGTAAACACACCTGGACACCCTCAGATGAATGATATCAGCGATCAGATAATCCAGATTATGATGAGCCTGCAGCTGCTGTCAGTTGTCTGTGCTTTAGGACAAAGGAGACGCTCTGCTGTCAGATAATCTGGATCATAATCTCTGTGGATCATAACATCCCACTCTCTCTGACCCACAGCAGGCTGCGATGCTGTGACTGCTGACTCTGCCTGCTTTCTGAGGAGGACATGGCAGCCGAGCTGTTCTCCACCAGTCTCCCTCAAGACGAGGAGGTGGAGGTTCTGGAGGTGAAGAAGAGCTTCATTCAGGTGAGCGACCTGCAGCTGACTGCCGAAGACATCTGTGGAGACAGCGGCATTGCCGCCTCACAGCCAAATAACCATGACGGGAACCCGGAGGAAACAGACAGCTGGCAAGCTTCCCACCCCACCCTCAGAGAAAGGTAAAAAAAAAAAAAACCCAAAAAAACCCCCACCACCAACAACCACAAGCAGTCAGAGAGATAAACAACAACAATAAGAGGACAACAAATTGACTATGCAGACATTGCTTCTTTTTCATCTAAAGGACATTAAAATGTTTGTTGCTAACACAGCCCCAACACAAAGCCCCATCCAATTCAATGTTAATTTTACAGTCCTAAATTACAACAACTGTTGCCTTAAGGTGCTTTATATTGTTTAAGTAAAGTGACTAGATGTTACAATCCCATATCAGGGATTGTAACATCTAGTTTCACAAAAAAGAAAGAGAAAACCCCATTAATCATATGACCCCCTATGAGTAAGTGCTTTGGTGACAGTGGGAAGAAAAAATTCCCTTTTAACAGGAACAAACCTCTAGCAGAACCAGGCTCACAGAGGGGTGACCATCTGCTGGTGGTGGTCAGAGGGCCCGGTGGCGCCAGTGTCCGGCAGCCTCGCCTCTGTCAGTGCGCCCCAGGGTGGCTGTGGCTACAATGTAGCTTGCCATCACCAGTGTGTGAATGTGTGTGTGAATGGGTGGATGACTGGATATGTAAAGCGCTTTGGGGTCCTTAGGGACTAGTAAAGCGCTATATAAATACAGGCCATTTACCATTTTACCATTTGCTGTGAACAGCTGGGGATGAGTGGAGGTCAATGTTATCCAGTTTCATGGATAGATAAAGCTGTGTCATCTGCATAGCAGTGAAAATGTATGCTATGTCTCTTGATGATAACAGAACCCTCATCAATTGTAACCTTCACTAAAGCTGTTTCTGTGCTGCGATGAGCTCTGAAAACTGACTGAAACTCTTCAAATAAGCCATTCCTCTGCAGTTGATGTGTTAGTTCTTTGACAACTACTCTTTCAAGAATTTTTAATATGAAAGGAAGGTTGGGGATTGGCCTATAATTAGCTAACACCGGTGGGTCTAGAAATGGCGTTTTAGGCAACGGTTTAACTACTACCAGCTTGAAGGCCTGTGATACATAGCTGATTAATAGAGATAGGTTGACCATATTTAAGATTGAAGCATTAATTAATGGCAGGACTTCTGAGCAATCTTGCCATTCCTGCATGTCCTCATGTGTTGAAGTTCAGGCTCTGGCTGCTGGGCAGGGGTCTGCATACATTCAGCTTTATCATCATTCTGCATTTTTGGCTATGTTAGCTACTAAGAAATGTGATGTGCTAACCCGAGTCTGTTGTTGTCCTTGTACTTTGCTGTTGTCTGTTGATTATGTTGTGTGGCTGCAGGAACGCTCTGATGTTCAACAATGAGCAGATGGCTGATGTCCACTTCATTGTCGGTTCTTCAGGAGAGACTCAGACAGTGCCTGCTCATAAGGTACAGAACCTGTTCCCACTGACACTTTGATCCAGAGCAAACGGTTTGATGCTGTGGTCCAGATTCTAATGGATTCCTCTGTATGGCAGTACGTCCTGGCGGTGGGCAGCTCGGTGTTTGGAGCCATGTTTTATGGAGATCTGGCAGAGGGACAGTCTGTGATCCAGATCCCTGATGTTGAGCCGGCTGCTTTTCTCATCCTCTTAAAGTGAGTCAGAAATCAAGACCAGGCCCACTGTTAGTGAATTAGCAGCAAGCAGAGTCCTGAAAGTAGTCTCCTTCACTCGGATGACCCCCAGCTTTGCATTCTGCCTCATGTGGAGCTACAGCTGCCTTTCTAGTGTGCCTCATTGGGCTAGGATAGAAGGATAAAGGCTAGGATAGCAATGGAATCAGAGAGGCACAGGCTTCACAGAACTACAATCTGAGAAAACGTTGTCTGACAGAAAAAAATTATTACAAAACATAAAAAGTTTTGTTAGTATCCTGAACACTTGACTCCTGAACGTGACTATGAAATCTTTTTCAGTGCAGATCTGAGTACCGCCATTAGTGTTTCGACCAAATTGAAAAGTGTTCTGTGGCAGGATCTGAGGTAGGGTGGAGGTTTGTGGTGGGACGTGCTTAAAGACTGTAGACACCGTGGGCTGGGCAGAAGGAGTTCAGCTCCAGTGATTTTGTTTCTTGAAGCAGGATTTGGTTGAAGGGACAGGAGAGTAAGGCAGGCGTTGTAGTTTATGGTGTAGCTCGAGAAAAGGGACCACAGACCAGATTTCACAATCCATCATGTTGATAACATTGAGGTAACTTCTGTTTCTGCTCCACTGTGGTGGTACACAAACCCACTACAGTCAGCTATGGATGCCGCGTGTTGTACAATTTTTGTCGAAACATGACCTTATCCTACTATTTTCTCTATCTCAGGTACATGTACAGCGATGAGATTGAGTTGGAGGCTGATACCGTGCTCGCCACGCTATATGCTGCTAAGAAGTATATTGTCCCTGCTCTGGCGAGGGCCTGCGTAGCCTTCTTGGAGACAAGCCTTGAGGCAAAGAATGCCTGTGTGCTGCTGTCTCAGAGTCGGCTGTTTGAGGAGCCGGAACTGACGCAGCACTGCTGGGAGGTGATCGACGCTCAAGCCGAACTCGCTCTGCGCTCTGAAGGTTTCTGTGAGATCGACTTGCTCACGCTGGAGATAATCCTGCAGAGAGAAACACTCAACACCCGCGAGATCGTGGTGTTTCAGGCACTGCTGTGCTGGGCGGCGGCAGAGTGTCGGCGGCAGGGCTTGACAGTGAACCCCAGGAATCAACGCACGGTGCTTGGTAAGGCCCTGTACCTGGTCCGATTCCCTTCCATGACACTGCAGGAGTTTGCAGATGGGGCAGCGCAGTCGGATGTGTTGACGCTCAAAGAGGCCCACGACGTCTTTCTGTGGTTCACTGCTACCAACAAACCCAGGCTGGAATTCCCCACTGTGAAGCGGGCGGGGCTACTGCCACAGAGGTGCCACCGCTTCCAATCCTCAGCCTACCGGAGCAACCAGTGGCGCTACAGGGGGCGCTGTGACAGCATCCAGTTTGCCGTGGATCGCAGGATTTTTGTAGCTGGACTTGGTCTGTACGGTTCCAGTGGTGGGAAGGCAGAGTACGTTGTGAGGATTGAATTGAAGAGGCAGGGAACTGTTCTAGCCCAGAATCTCAACAAGTTTCTGTCAGATGGGTCAAGCAGCACCTTCCCGGTGTGGTTCGAGCACCCGGTGCAGGTAGAGCAGGACACCTTCTACACAGTCAGTGCCGTCCTGGACGGAAACGAGCTGAGTTACTTTGGCCAGGAGGGGATGACTGAAGTGCAGTGTGGGAAAGTGACCTTCCAGTTCCAGTGCTCATCAGACAGTACCAATGGCACTGGGGTGCAGGGGGGGCAGATCCCAGAGCTCATCTTCTACTGTTGAACTGGACCCAGGGATTCAGCCAACAGGCAGGAAGTCGGAGCCTGGAGCTCAGATTCAATCAACGGACCTGGCAATTGGAAATTGGCAGCTGATTGAACAATGCCGTGGACCTGAGAGCTGATTGGCTGTCAGGTTTTTAGAAGTGTTTGGTGTATATTAAAGTCTCCTGAATATTTGAGAAAATGAATAAAGGAAGTTGTAGTTTTTCTGCTGCTGCCACTAGATGTGGCTAGTAACCAGACCGAAAAGCAGCGCACATTTCGGTGCTTTGTTTCGGTGCTTTTTTTTCCTGAGCTGTGATACACTTCTAGCCAATCATTTTACGTTTCCGAGGATAGTAGGCGGGGCCAGGTACGTACGTTCTGTTAGAGCAGAGCTACAGATTAAAAATGTCCAAGGCGAAGCGGTCAAAAGTCTGGCTGTACTTCACAGCAAAATATGAAAACTCAGCAGCCTGCAACAAGTGCTTTAAGCTGATACTGTGATACTGTCAAAGGAGGTAACACCAAGAATCCGATTAAACAGCTGGCGACGCATAGCGTTTTTTTTAAAAGCCGAGAAATGCGCCGTATTTGATAGCTTGCTGCGAGACCTCACACCGTGCACGTCGGGTGGGTTGCCAGTTATCGGACCCGGAGCAACATCCCCCAAACACCCGAAGAATAGAGTCCTGGCCCCTAGCCCTGCCAGTGTAGCAGAAATGATGACGGATGATGATGGCAGCAGCAGCCGTTCTTCTCTGCGTGAGTAGCTTGTTGTCCGTGTGTAATTTACGTTGAGTAGGCTAACCACGTTATTACATTAATGCATGTAAGGTGAACTAGCAAACATCATCATAGCTACATGCGGCTGTCTTCTTGTTTGATGGCAGATACTCCCTTCACCCTGGCCAAAAAGGCTAAAATGACCAAAGAAAAAGTGGGAAACAGTTAAACACGAGAGGTTTTTGGACAAAGTTTGTGTTCTCCATTCTTTAAGCACTGGTTCGAGCACCGTTTAAGCACCGGCACCGTTTCAAAAGTACCGATTTGGCACCGGTATCGGATAAAACCTAAACGATACCCATCCCTATCTCACACTGTGGGGGATTTTCAACTTTTTTTGTGCTGTGGATAATGAATTTTACTTGTTGTGTTCAAGGTCACACGTGTAAAACGGAAATAAAAAATTTGAATGCAACAACAAATTATTTCAAGCCTGTATTCAGTAGAAAAGCATTGCAGACAAAAAATATAAAGTTGAAACTGATAAATGTGATTGGTGTTTTTTTTTTTTGTTTTTTTTTATTTACAGTTTATTTCTGGATGTCAGCACATGTTGCACATGTTTATCACACTTTAAATAATCTGTGAGACTGCATTCTCTGCTTTTCCAGTGTTGTGTGCTTTAAATAAATACAATGAGTAAATAGCTCACCAATGGCGGGAGCATTGATGCAGAGCTCACGAGCCAGCAGCAGGAAGGTCTTTCCCAAGATGTAGACATTTACCTGGACACACAGCATAGAGCTCACACCTTAATGACACCACTGAGATTCCACTGAGAGTAGCTGAGGCTCGGTCTTACCTGCAGCAGATCGCTGAGGTCCAGCAGCATGTCTGAGGCTTGTATAAGGAAAACCAGGAGATGAAAGGTCAGAATGAAGCCTGTAACCTCTGTGTTTTTATCACGTTTGTGTTTGATTTAAAATTGTAAATCACTGATTCCAGGTGTTTCTGATCACCTTAAACAGCAGAACATCTGCAGCACATTAGGGTGATGGACATCTGAATGTACCGCTGATGGATCAGTTCCTGTGACAAACCTGCATCCACCTGCAGCTGATGAAAATCTGATGTCTTTCTCCTCATACCGTATTTTCACGACCATAAGACGCACTGTACTAAAAGGCGCAGTCTCAGTTATGTGTGCCATTACTGTATTTAACACACACATAAGGCGCACTGGATCATAGGGCGCATACAAGTACTGTATGCATATTTAAAAATAAAGCGGGAGTAAACCTGAGTTCGGTACCTTACTCACATATCTGTTACCGGTAATCGTCATCATCAACAACACACAAGCATACAAGTGTGCATATTTAAAAATAAAGCAGGAGCAAAACAAAGTTTGGTACTCACATTTTTATTACCAGTAATCGTCATCATCAACAACATACAAGCATACAAGTGTGCGTATTTAAAAATAAAGCAGGAGCAAAACAAAGTTTGGTACTCACATTTTTATCATCAATCAAACCCATCGAAGTCCTCATCCTCTGTGTCTGAATTGAACAGCTGCGCTAAATCTCCATCAAACATGCCAGGTTCACTTTCTTCACCGTCAGAGTCACTTTCCGTGCCGTGCGGCTCCTCGGAAATGATGCCGGCTTTTGCGAAAGCTCGAACAACAGTGCCAGCAGACATGTTAGCCCAAGCATCTACAATCCATTGGCAAATTGTGGCGTAACTCGCCCGGCGCTGCCTTCCACTCTTGGTGAAACTGTGGTCCCCAACGGTCATCCATCGCTCCCAGGCCGCTCGCAGTCTTACTTTGAACGGGCGGTTCACACCGATGCCCAGCGGTTGGAGTTCCTTTGTCAGGCCTCCCGGAATGACAGCAAGCTCACAGTTCATTTGTTTCACTAGTTTTTTCACATCGGCTGTGAGAGGGGCACGCATAGAGTCACAGATTAAGAGCGATGGTGATGCGTGGAAAAAACCACCTGGTCTCCTTACATACACCTCCCTCAGCCACTCTTTCATCATTTCCTCATCCATCCAGCCCTTTTCATTTGCCTTAATTATGATTCCTGCTGGAAACTTCTCTTTAGGCAAAGTCTTTCGCTTAAAAATCACCATAGGCGGCAGTTTCTGTCCATTAGCATGGCAGCCAAGCACAACAGTAAAAGAAGACTTTTCATACCCCGTTGTGCGTATCGCTACCGTGCTGGTCCCCTTCTTCTCCACAGTGTGACTCACCGGGATGTCAAAAGTGAGCGGGACCTCGTCCATGTTTGTGATGTGGCTGGGCTGGATGTTTTTGTCGCCGATGTGTTTGCTGCGGAAGATGGCCAGCTTTTCCTTATAATCCGCTGGAAGTTGCTGCGCTACCGTAGTCCTGGTCCGGATGGAAAAATGGCACCGTTTCATAAAACGAAAGCACCAAGACGGACCTCCTTGGAAATGTTCAATGTTCATCTCTTCAGCTAGTGAAACTGCTTTTAGCCGAATGGTGACCGTCGAAACGCTTCTCCCGCTCGTTCTTTGCTCGATGATCCACCGCTCGAGTCTTTCCTCCAACTCGGGCCACCTCGCCTTATGTCCGCGGAAACTCAGCTGCGTTTTCTTGACCTGCCGGAGCTTGTTTTCTAGCTTCCTCCATTTGCAAACCATCGATTCGTTAATCTTAAATTCTCTCGCGGCTGCTCGATTTCCATGTTCCTCCGCATAGCTGATGGCCTTCAGTTTAAACTGTGCTTCATAAGCGTGTCTCTTTGCCATTTTCAGGGTTGTTAAAACAACGATGTTCCACATAATGCACATACCTGTCCTTTTATACAGGTATGTGCGATTGTCCGGTATATACGATCAACGCTCACACTTCACCCTTTAGCGTTCTCATGGTGTTCTCTACTACGTCCTCCTTACAACACACAGGGCGCACTGCGCTATAGGGCGCGCCGTACTTTTTGAAGAAAATCTAAGACTTTTAAGTGCGCCTTATGGTCGTGAAAATACGGTAGTTTTAAAAGAGGAGATGAGCTGCACACCTGAGCTACAGGTGAGGAAACCAGTTCAGTGGTTCACCTGGCTGCATGTAAACTGACTGTAGGCCATTGCGGTTTCAGAGTTCAGGTTTGTCTCGGCAGTTTGCACATGCTCAGTGGGTCAGAGTGGTTGCTAGGATACGTGGCGTGCCCTCAGTGCGGCACACAAGGTAGAGGCAGGCAGCGATGACGTGCTCTGTCTTGCGGCCCCGGGTCAGGTGTTTGCTGACGACTAGCTTGAAGAAGTTGAAGGCGGTGTCGAGGCAGTGCTGGTTGAGCTGCAACTGACTGCCCAGCTGCTGGATCTGACGCTTACCTGCACACACACAGGCTCGTTACACCTGTGGCTCACCTGGACACCCTGCCCCCAAACAGTCAAAGGACTCACCGTTCTGAAGTGTCTGGGCTCGCGACTCTTTACCAACGCTGGTGTGGAAACCAGAACCAAGAAGTGGCGCTTTAACGGGACCTGATGGGCAGGCAGAAAGACAGCTGTTCAGAGGACTTTGACTTTTGACACTGTAGTTGCTGCAGAGCATTTTGGGTAAAGACAGGTTAGTGTTAGACACTCATCACAGGCATGAAGTCAAAGTTGAGTGTTCATTCTAGGGTGGAATGATTGTATAGCAAACGTGTTTACTGACTTTAAAAATTCAATTCAATTTTATTTATATAACGCAAAATCACAACAACAGTCGGCTCAAGGCACTTTATATTGTAAGGCAGACCCTACAATAATACATACAGAGAAAAAACCAACAATCATATAACCCCCTATGAGTGAGCACTTTGGTGACAGTGGGAATGAAAAACTCCCTTTCAACAGGAAGAAACCTCCAGCAGAAGCAGGCTCAGGGAGGGGTGGCCATTTGCCATGACCACTTGGGGTGAGAGAAGGAAGACAGGATAAAAGACATGCTATGGAAGAGAGACAGAGATTAATAACAAGTATGCTTCGGTGCAGAAAGGTCTATTAACACATAGTGACTGAAGAATACTCAATGCATCATGGGATGATGGACATCAATTAATTACAACGAGGGGAATGCTCAGGTGGACATGTTTCTGATTCTGGATGAGAAGCTTTGAAACACAGCGACTTGTTTCTCATGATGTTTTCTTCTAAAACGTGGCACTAATTAAATTACCTGAACTGGTCAGAGAGACGTCCGAAGCCTGCTTGAGCTGTATCTGTGAAACCTGGATGGACTTCAGCAAACTCACATGGTCTCTGAAACTTGCTGATGCTGCGGATTACCAGCCCTTCCTGTTTCACCCTAAACCACCCTAACCTGCCTCTGTTGGCGTCTCACCATCAGCAGACACAAACTGTCCCACGGCGGACGACACGCCTCCGCTTCCCTCCACAAACTGGACCTCGGACACGATGATGTTGTCCTCCAGAACCGAACCACAGCTGGTGCACACGGCGCTGCCACGAGCCTGGTCCACGTCAATATCAGACCCCCCGCAGGTCCTGCACACCCGGGAGCTCATGGTGGAGGTCAGAGGTCAGCAGTCCCTGAGGTGGAGAGACCGGTTAAATATTAAACTTTCACATGACGATGAGTATGAAGGTCAACACAGGAAACAAGTCACTGTCATGTGTAGGATAGCTCCACTGTACACTCACTGATGATGACTCATACAACATTTCAGCCAGTCATATGTCTCCATCTCCTCCTATGTCACACCAACCCTCTGCATGTCCTCCTTCACTACATGGACGACCCTCTACCACTACCTCTGCTTCTCCATGTTCACCTTCCACCTTGTCTCCCTCTCATTCACACTCATGTATTCTATCTTGCTTCTACTCTTTCATACCTCCACCTGCTCCCTAATCTCACCTTAGGTCACAGTATCATCTGCAGACATTATCATCCACAGTGACCCCAGCCTGACCTCATCTTTCAGTGTGTTCATTACTACTGCAAACAAGAAAGAGCTCAGAGCAGATCCGATTCACTTTCACCCCCACCTTCATCCACCTGTGACTGCAGACATTAATGATTACAGACAGCAGACAGTGTGTGTGTGTGTCTTAAAGAGGATTCAAAACTCTGTGATTCAAACTTGGGTGACTCTTATTGGTTGCAGCTGTTACCTGTTTACATGTATGAAACAGTCTGATTGGCTCAGCTCAGAACAAATCTGATCAGCAGATCACTTTTAGTTAAAATGACAAGTTTTAAACCTTTTCCTATTTCCCTACACCACCACACATCACATCCTGTTCTCTGTGAATTTGTTGGATACTATTTAACTCCACCTCTTTGGCTTGCCTCCTTATGCAACACATGGAAGAGAACATGGAAGCTGTGAGTTAAGAAGACTCTGCTTAACTTTTGATAGATTGCCGTAAATGGAAAGGGATATTTCCTCACTTGAATGCATGGTTGTGTTACATCAGAGCCCTTTATTGTTAATTTTGAAGAAATTGAAACACTAAGATGGTAAGTTGCTGTTATCCTGATGTTAAAATCAAGATGACTGTTCTCTCTAAGTTGCCTACTGGGCAAACGGGTCAGCCGATCCGATGCAGTCACTATGGGTCTGCACTAGATACTGCATCACCTCGACCAACCTGAGACACACGCCAGATACTGTTCATGGGTTTCAGTTTGGCCTTCAACACCATCATCCCAGACATGTTCCACCAGAAGCTCACCCACCTCCACCTGCCAGTGGATCACCAGCTTCCTGATGCCCAGACCAGCACTGGCCTGTCACCATATCAGCAGCAGGTGAACTCAGACTCCCGCTGAGCTGCTCAATGGCGTTAGCAGGAAAATGTCGGTTTGTGATTTATGTCATAAAAACAAAGGTTGGAGTCCAGTCAGAGTTTTTTTTTTTCTCTAACTTTATTTAAATATTTTTAATCAGCATCGGATGCTGCACCTGGAACATGTAAACAAATATAATCGGCTAACCTGAAACACCGGGACCGGGGAGCTCCTCTCCCAGAGATCTGGATCCACTCACCGGGAGAACTTCAGAGTCTGGTCCGTTAGAAACAGTGTTCCGTCCCAGAACACATCCGGTCACCTTATTGGCTGCTAATAACGGTTATTGATCAGTTATTGATCACTGACTGTTTTCAGATTGCAGTTTGTTTTCTTCCTGTGGCGCGCTGGAGTGACGTTACTCAATAGGCACAGGACATGAGTTGGTGACGTGGGTGTGGAAAGGAAAGCATTTGAATCCTAATAATTAAACCCTGAACGAATGTAACTGTTATCACGTCACCAATATGTTATATCATCTGGATTCGACTCAATGAAACAAACCGACTTCTTTTGACCCAGAAATAACCCCGCTCCTCCCCCCAGACTGTGTTGAACGGTACCACCCGGCGCCGCCTGATGACGTTTCTCGTTCGGCGGGTTATTTTCGATGCAGTGGCGCTTTTGATGTAAACAAACACACAGTCGGACGGACGGAAGTCAGCGGGATGAACTGCGACCAACTACTGCTCCACCCGCGGGTCAGCGCTGCCCTGAGGAGAGGTAACAGCACCGAGCTCATCTGATGTTATTAATCTGCAGTTATTCCAACTATTCTGGATTTAACAGGGAGCCACTGAGGGGAAGCCAATATAGGAGAAATATGGTCTCTCTCTATAGTTTTTTCTCTCTCTTTTTAAACCTTTATTTAAAGGTCAGTACAAAGTAGAATTAAAACAGTATTACATTGAAGGTGTTGTACTTAAAGAAATTGTAAACCACAAACAAACGACCATTTTTCAGAACCTACAATACGCATACCGGTACGCTAAGGGGAGAAGTTTAACTGATTAAGCCAAAGAGTAAAGATTGGAGGATCTTTATTTTTTCACATACAACCATAGCCTTTGGGGTTAGTAGAATTCTTAATTGAATTTAGATATTATAAAAGCTCATAGGAGTATACATAAAAGGAGGGATGTCTCCCTAAACATTTGGATTTGTGAATATGAAATTTAACCTTTAAGATTAACAAGTTAATCATATACCTGTTATCAATGTTGAATTGTCTTTAGTTTTTGTGGAGCCCAAATAATACGTAGTTTCAGAACAGTGCAAATCCTTTAAATACATGTTCTGAGATAAAAACACATAATCTCTGCCAGAAGTCTTACCAACAACAGTTTGTATTGGAGATGCCAGTGGCCTGTGGTATGAAGGGATATTAGTGTTTATTCTTATAAAGCATACAAACCCCTGAAGGTATAGACCCAAATGCTTTAATATAATTGTCATGATTTATTGCTAAATATCTTTTAGTAAAGATGGCGCTGGAGTGACGGCAGCCTTTCCAAGTAATAGACCTCAATACTTGAAATGTGCAATTCACTTGTATTTTTATTTTTTATTCCTATTTATTCTATTTATCCCCTTCGTATATTTTATTTATATTGTCTCTGTATTTATATATATATGTGTGTGTGTGTGTGTGTGTGTATATATATATATATATATAATATTCTGTAACTCTGTAACTTCTGTCGGTGCTGTGCTTTTTTGGAAATCGAATTTCCCAGAGGAACCCACCCGAGGGATTAATAAAGTTCTATCTTATCTTATCTTATCTTAAATTGAAATGTAGACAAAATTCGTCATATGAGAAAAGCATACAATTTGAATCGAATAATTGGTTGACTAAAATAATGTTGTTCCTAAACTAAGAAAAAAAGTTTTCTTTATATAGGATATCCTTGTTATTCCAAATATTATAACTGTGTAGACTAATCTCTCTCTCTCTAGTCTCTGTCAGTACTCTTGCTACAGCATTTTGAAATAACTGAAGGTATTTTCGGGGAGTTTTTGCTACATCTTCATAATAATGAACCAGCCTAGAAGTAATAAATGCATAAGCTAGTTTTTCAGCATCACTCTGAGACAGGGTAGCTCTAATTTTAGAGATATTGTGCAAATGGAAGAAAGCAGTCCTACATAATACCTACAGCATCCTCTAATTGTTCTAATAGGATATCATGGTCGACAGTATCGAACACTGCATTGAGGTCTAGCAGGACAAGCAAAGAGATGAGTCCACTGTCAGAGGCCATAAGAAGATCATTTGTAACCTTCACTAAAGCTGTTTCTGTGCTGTGATGAACTCTGAAACCTGACTGAAACTCTTCAAATAAGCTATTCCTCTGCAGATGATCTGTTAGCTGTTTGACAACTACTCTTTCAAGAATGTTTAAGATGAAAGGAAGGTTAGAGGTTGGCCTGTAATTAGCTGAGACAGCTGGCTCTTTTTAAGAATCCATTCAAATTATTACAGATTAGACAGTGAACACCAAAGATTCAGAGATGTGATGAATTGCTTGGACTTCCTTTTTTTGTGGTTGTTTCCATTGTTTCCACGGTAACCACTTGTGCTTCTCCTGCTGCAGTTCAGCTAAAGTCTGTGAAGGATGTGGTTTGTGCTTCTGCTCCAGACCTGCAGAGACTCACCGGTTTGTCCAACTCTGATGTCCAGCAGCTGATCACTGCTGCCGCTGCCGTCTGCAGAAGGCACCCTCCAATCACAGGTCAGGAGAAGAGTCTTACTGGACACACTGTGTGATGTGATATCATGCATTAACCAAGTGTGTGTGTGTGTGTATGTGTTCAGCACAGCAGCTGCAGCACGGCGTGTCTGGCGCCCAGCTCAGGCTCGGCTGTCCAGTTCTGGACCGCCTTTTGAGGGGCGGTTTGCCTGTGGGGGGCATCACTGAGCTGGCTGGAGAGAGTGGCACCGGCAAGACTCAGGTGGGCCTGCAGCTCAGCCTCTCGGTGCAGTACCCAGCAGAGCACGGAGGGCTGGGAGCAGGTCAGTGAACGCACCATGATTTTGCCAATCAGTAGGTTTGTGATACATTCAGTGAAAAGGTTGTGGCTAAGCAGCTTACAGCAGTTTTGGATAAACACAATATTCTTGACAAATTTCAGTCTGGCTTACACAGAGCTCATTCTACTGAAACAGCCCTTCTTAGAGTTTCCAGTGACATTTTGATGCAAAACGATGCGGGAAAATGTTCTGTTCTGCTGATGTTGGACCTCACGTTGGCCTTTGATGCAGCTTACCATCACGTTCTGCTTGAAAGGCTGAAATATCAAATCAAATCAAATCACTTTTTATTGTCACATCACATGTGCAGGTACATTGGTACAGCACATGTGAGTGAAATTCTTGTGTGCGAGCTTCACAAGCAACAGAGTTGTGCAAAATACAATAATGTAAACAAGCAAAATACAAGAATGGCTACATCTGAAACTAATAAATATATGTACAGTGGGGCAAAAAAGTATTTAGTCAGCCACCGATTGTGCAAGTTCCCCCACCTAAAATGATGACAGAGGTCAGTAATTTGCACCAGAGGTACACTTCAACTGTGAGAGACAGAATGTGAAAAAAAAATCCATGAATCCACATGGTAGGATTTGTAAAGAATTTATTCGTAAATCAGGGTGGAAAATAAGTATTTGGTCAATAACAAAAATACAACTCAATACTTTGTAACATAACCTTTGTTGGCAATAACAGAGGTCAAACGTTTACTATAGGTCTTTACCAGGTTTGCACACACAGTAGCTGGTATTTTGGCCCATTCCTCCATGCAGATCTTCTCGAGAGCAGTGATGTTTTGGGGCTGTCGCCGAGCAACACGGACTTTCAACTCCCGCCACAGATTTTCTATGGGGTCGAGGTCTGGAGACTGGCTAGGCCACTCCAGGACTTTCAAATGCTTCTTACGGAGCCACTCCTTTGTTGCCCGGGCGGTGTGTTTTGGATCATTGTCATGTTGGAAGACCCAGCCTCGTTTCATCTTCAAAGTTCTCACTGATGGAAGGAGGTTTTGGCTCAAAATCTCACGATACATGGCCCCATTCATTCTGTCCTTAACACGGATCAGTCGTCCTGTCCCCTTGGCAGAAAAACAGCCCCATAGCATGATGTTTCCACCCCCATGCTTCACAGTAGGTATGGTGTTCTTGGGATGCAACTCAGTATTCTTCTTCCTCCAAACACGACGAGTTGAGTTTATACCAAAAAGTTCTACTTTGGTTTCATCTGACCACATGACATTCTCCCAATCCTCTGCTGTATCATCCATGTGCTCTCTGGCAAACTTCAGACGGGCCTGGACATGCACTGGCTTCAGCAGCGGAACACGTTTGGCACTGCGGGATTTGATTCCCTGCCGTTGTAGTGTGTTACTGATGGTGACCTTTGTTACTTTGGTCCCAGCTCTCTGCAGGTCATTCGCCAGGTCCCCCCGTGTGGTTCTGGGATCTTTGCTCACCGTTCTCATGATCATTTTGACCCCACGGGATGAGATCTTGCGTGGAGCCCCAGATCGTGGGAGATTATCAGTGGTCTTGTATGTCTTCCATTTTCTGATGATTGCTCCCACAGTTGATTTTTTTCACACCAAGCTGCTTGCCTATTGTAGATTCACTCTTCCCAGTCTGGTGCACGTCTACAATACTTTTCCCGGTGTCCTTCGAAAGCTCTTTGGTCTTGGCCATGGCGGAGTTTGGAGTCTGACTGTTTGAGGCTGTGGACAGGTGTCTTTTATACAGATGATGAGTTCAAACAGGTGCCATTCATACAGGTAACGAGTGGGGGACAGAAAAGCGTCTTACAGAAGACGTTACAGGTCTGTGAGAGCCAGAGATTTTCCTTGTTTGAGGTGACCAAATACTTATTTTCCACCCTGATTTACGAATAAATTCTTTACAAATCCTACCATGTGAATTCATGGATTTTTTTTTTCACATTCTGTCTCTCACAGTTGAAGTGTACCTCTGGTGCAAATTACTGACCTCTGTCATCATTTTAAGTGGGGGAACTTGCACAATCGGTGGCTGACTAAATACTTTTTTGCCCCACTGTACAATATATAATAGTATATGCATTTCTGGATGTGTATACTAAATATTTTTCTACGTGTGTGTGTGTGTGTGTGTGTGTGTGTGTGTGTGTGTGTGTGTGTACATATTTTACAAATTAAATAGAGTAAACAATAAATAAAATATATAAAATAAAATATACAGAGTGAGACATGTGCAAAACAGTGGCGTTACTGTACAGTATGGAGTGCATAATGTTAAAGTTCCAGTAGTGAAGCTGAGGTGTCTATGAAGTGTTCAGCAGTCTGATGGAAGCAGTCTGAACAGTTTATGGCTGGGGTGACTGGAGTCCTTGATGATCCTCCCCGCTTTCCTCAGGCACCGCTTCCTGTAGATGTCTTGGAGGGAGGGAAGCTCACCTCCAATTATCCAATTATATTGGGTCGGTGTATATGGATCTGCCTTAAAGTGGTTCTCCTCATATCTGTATGAATGATACTTTTCTGTGGCAGTTTCTAAGTACTTCCCTCACCTACGGTGTGCCACAAGATTCTGTATTGGGGCCTTTATTGTTTTTAATACATCTACTTCCTCTCCAGCATATTTTGAGCCCCTTTGAGGACATTTGCTACCACTGCTATGCAAATGACATCCAGTTATACTTTTTGTTTTTAAGCCCCAAGATGTTTGAATCTGAATTCCTCGTACAGTGGGGCAAAAAAGTATTTAGTCAGCCACCGATTGTGGAAGTTCCCCCACTTAAAATGATGACAGAGGTCAGTAATTTGCACCAGAGGTACACTTCAACTGTGAGAGACAGAATGAAAAAAAAATCCATGAATTCACATGGTAGGATTTGTAAAGAATTTATTCGTAAATTAGGTTGGAAAATAAGTATTTGGTCACCTCAAACAAGGAAAATCTCTGGCTCTCACAGACCTGTAACGTCCTCTGTAAGAAGCTTTTCTGTCCCCCACTCGTTACCTGTATGAATGGCACCTGTTTGAACTCATCATCTGTATAAAAGACACCTGTCCACAGCCTCAAACAGTCAGACTCCAAACTCCGCCATGGCCAAGACCAAAGAGTTTTCGAAGGACACCAGGAAAAGTATTGTAGACGTGCACCAGACTGGGAAGAGTGAATCTACAATAGGCAAGCAGCTTGGTGTGAAAAAATCAACTGTGGGAGCAATCATCAGAAAATGGAAGATATACAAGACCACTGATAATCTCCCTCGATCTGGGGCTCCACGCAAGATCTCATCCCGTGGGGTCAAAATGATCATGAGAACGGTGAGCAAAGATCCCAGAACCACACGGGGGGACCTGGTGAATGACCTGCAGAGAGCTGGGACCAAAGTAACAAAGGTCACCATCAGTAACACACTACAACGGCAGGGAATCAAATCCTGCAGTGCCAGACGTGTTCCGCTGCTGAAGCCAGTGCATGTCCAGGCCCGTCTGAAGTTTGCCAGAGAGCACATTGATGATACAGCAGAGGATTGGGAAAATGTCATGTGGTCAGATGAAACCAAAGTAGAACTTTTTGGTATAAACTCAACTCGTCGTGTTTGGAGGAAGAAGAATACTGAGTTGCATCCCAAGAACACCATACCTACTGTGAAGCATGGGGGTGGAAACATCATGCTATGGGGCTGTTTTTCTGCCAAGGGGACAGGACGACTGATCCGTGTTAAGGACAGAATGAATGGGGCCATGTATCGTGAGATTTTGAGCCAAAACCTCCTTCCATCAGTGAGAACTTTGAAGATGAAACGAGGCTGGGTCTTCCAACATGACAATGATCCAAAACACACCGCCCGGGCAACAAAGGAGTGGCTCCGTAAGAAGCATTTGAAAGTCCTGGAGTGGCCTAGCCAGTCTCCAGACCTCGACCCCATAGAAAATCTGTGGCGGGAGTTGAAAGTCCGTGTTACTCGGCGACAGCCCCAAAACATCACTGCTCTCGAGAAGATCTGCATGGAGGAATGGGCCAAAATACCAGCTACTGTGTGTAAAAACCTGGTAAAGACCTATAGTAAATGTTTGACCTCTGTTATTGCCAACAAAGGTTATGTTACAAAGTATTGAGTTGTATTTTTGTTATTGACCAAATATTTATTTTCCACCCTGATTTATGAATAAATTCTTTACAAATCCTACCATGTGGATTCATGGATTTTTTTTTTTTTTTCACATTCTGTCTCTCACAGTTGAAGTGTACCTCTGGTGCAAATTACTGACCTCTGTCATCATTTTAGGTGGGGGAACTTGCACAATCGGTGGCTGACTAAATACTTTTTTGCCCCACTGTATGTGCTCCTGACAGACATGTACCTAAGATAATGAATGCTTTTGGTCCCCTTTCGATATTTGTGAAGTCAGCTATCAGGAACCTTCATTTGCTCCCTGTTAAATCCAGAATTGAATTCAAAATCCTGCTCCTCACATACAAGGTCTTAAATAATCAGGTCCCGTCTTATCTTAATGACCTTATAGGACCACATCACCCCATTAGAGCACTTCGCTCTCGCACTGCAGGCTTACTTGTTGTTCCTAGAGTATTTAAAAGTAGAATGGGTGGGTAAGGCTTCATTTTTCAGGCCCCTCTTCTGTGGAACCAGCTTCCAGTTTGGATTCGGGAGACAGACACTTTCTCTACTTTTAAGATTAGGCTTAAAACATTCCTGTTGGCTAACTATATGTTAGGGCTGGACCAGGTGACCCTGAATCCTCCCTTAGTTATGCTGCAATAGGCATAGGCTGCTGGGGGACTCCCATGATGCATTGAGTTTTTCATTTTCAGTCACCTTCTTCACTCACTATATGTTAATAGACCTCTCTGCATTGAATCATACTTGTTATTAATCTCTGTCTCTCTTCTACAGCATGCCTTTTATCCTGTCTTCCTTCTCTCACCCCAACCGGTCGCAGCAGATGGCCACACGTTCCTGAGGCTGGTTCTGCCGGAGGTTTCTTCCTGTTAAAAGGAAGTTTTTCCTTCCCACTGTCGCCAAAGTGCTTGCTCATAGGGGGTCATTTTATTGCTGTTTTTTTCTGTGTATGTATTATTGTAGGGTCTACCTTACAATCAATGTTCCCTCTAATTTTTCACGTGTCTGAGCGAACACACAAACTCCCTGAGCGATCCCTTGGACCACTGTGAGCGACATCACACGTGTGCACTGTGGTCACGCCAGCGTTTACATTTATGTTAGACTACTTTTAATTAACTGCTTTAGCCCATTTACAATGAAAATGTAAAAAAAAAAAAATCTAGTCATTGACCTGTGTAGTATGTTAACACTATTGGAAGTAAAAAATAACTTGAAGTCCAATTTCGAAAACACAACTTTCTTTTTTTTTTTTGTTTTTTTTTTTGTTTTTTTTAAATATATAAAGCTTTGACTTATTATGAGTCTGTGGTCTGGGAGAGAGTCCTGTAACTCTGTCTGCAAAATATAGTACATAATGACCAATGCTGGGCAATTAATTATATAGTTACGTCTTCAAAAAAGTAACTGAGTTATGCAAACAACATTTTTTGCAGCTATTTTTTTTTTAATGCAGCCAAGGCGTTTTTTAAACTAACATTTCAAACTATTTACAGAACAATCAGCTGTTCTGCATCAAATCTGATGCCACACAAATAATTTGTGCCACTCCAAAAAATAATTTCTGTCCACTATAAGATAAAGGAGAACAACAGCCTGATACGTCTGGGAAGGTTCTCAGTCATCCAGGTCATCGTAGTCAAAGGAGCTTGCAAAGAAAAGCGTCTGGACTTCTTTAAGTTGCTTGAAGACGTTTCACCTCTCATCCGAGAAGCTTCTTCAGTTCTAAGGTCAAATGGTGGAGAGTCCCAGATATAAACCTAGTGGGCGTAACCCCCCACAGAGGGACAAAAGGACCCCCTGATGATCCTCTAATCGCCTGAGCCAAGGTGTGAAACTGGGTGTGGGTCCCAATCAGCCAGAGTTTCGGGTGAGTTCATTGTGAAACCTGGCCCCACCTTATCATGCGAACTCCTGAGATCAGATGGCCCAGGATGTGAGTGGGCGTTAAGGCGTCTGGGAAGGGATCTCAAAACTGGATTATAGATGGCAGAGAGTTGGTGTCGTAAAACCACCGCCTCTGTTCAAAGATGGTCGCTCACAGTGGACATAGATGGCTTCTTTCACTCGTCTTTCAAACCATCTGTCCTCTCTGTCCAAAATGTGAACATTGGCATCCTCGAAAGAGTGACCTTTATCCTTAAGATGCAGATGGACAGCTGAGTCTTGTCCTGTGGAGGTGGCTCTTCTGTGTTGTGCCATGCGCTTGTGAAGTGGCTGTTTGGTCTCTCCAATGTAGAGGTCTGGGCATTCCTCGCTGCACTATACAGCATACACCACATTGTTAAGTCTGTGTTTTGGCATTTTGTCTTTCGGGTGAACCAGTTTTTGTCTGAGCGTGTTGCTGGGTCTGAAATGCACTGGGATGTCATGCTTGGAGAAAACTCTCCTGAGTTTTTCTGATACACCGGCTACATAGGGGATGACAACATTGTTGCGTCTGTCTTTCTTATCCTCCCTCGCTGGTGTCTGGTCTTCTTTTCTGTGCCTCTTTGCTGACTTTAAGAACGCCCATTTAATGATGGTTTGAAAGACGAGTGAAAGAAGCCATCTATGTCCACTGTGAGCGACCATCTTTGAACAGAGGCGGTGGTTTACGACACCAACTCTCTGCCATCTATAATCCAGTTTTGAGATCCCTTCCCAGACGCCTTAACGCCCACTCACATCCTGGGCCATCTGATCTCAGGAGTTCGCATGATAAGGTGGGGCCAGGTTTCACAATGAACTCACCCGAAACTCTGGCTGATTGGGACCCACACCCAGTTTCACACCTTGGCTCAGGCGATTAGAGGATCATCAGGGGGTCCTTTTGTCCCTCTGTGGGGGGTTACGCCCACTAGGTTTATATCTGGGACTCTCCACCATTTGACCTTAGAACTGAAGAAGCTTCTCGGATGAGAGGTGAAACGTCTTCAAGTAACTTAAAAGAAGTCCAGACGCTTTTCTTTGCAAGCTCCTTTGACAACAGCCTGATACCTGCAGGCTTGACAACAGGAGATGTATCACTCCTGTAACACCTGTAACATTCAGCAGTCGCCTCATTGTTCTGACACACACAACAAAACTATTGACTACACTACACACTAACTACACAGGATTTGCACTAAACGTCTCAAATCTCTCACATCTCAAAACACCGCCATCACTCCTAAAACTTCCCCCCGTTTCTTAACAACTAAATGCCACATTGCCATATCATTTTTTGATTGGTTGACATGGTACTTTTTTGGACGAATAGGAAAGGGAGAGGGGGGTAGGGTTTGTTTTTGCTCACAGGCAGAGAGTGTTTTCGAGCCTTTTTTTCGTATAAAACGCCGTTTTTACCGTTTCTTCCCGCAGTAAATATAAACAACGATAGTATTCAGGAAGAAAACCAAACATTGCAGATATTTTTATCATAATTATGGTTTTACGTGGCCTATCAACTCAATTTAAAAACTAGTATAAAGTCCACACTTTTTCCGTCAATTGTTCCGTCTGTCCTGCTCACATCTCCAATGGTTGTACACGTTGTCATTAACGTGGCTTCACTCCACATCAGCCACGGCGCTTTGCTAGCTAAAACACCGGTGTCAGCATATAAGAACGCTGTCATAGCCTGTCAACGATGTTGATTAGCTGCGTATGTGCGAATGTGAATCGCATTATTGGCTGGACTATGGGATAAGATGGCATCGTTCTAATCCCATATGGGAGCAGCCAGTCACTTACTGACTAACACTGCAAAACAGAATTGTCAAAGTATTAATTTTAATTTCAATTCAGGTTAGAATTTTTGTGCGCAGAGACCGTGCCTACAGTGCGCAATTGCGCACGTGCGCAGCTTAGAGGGAACATTGTTTACAATATAAATCGCCTTGAGGCGACTGTTGTTGTGATTTGGCGCTATATAAATAAAATTGACCCACCTCTCACTTTGGATGCTCATGTCAAATCTCTGGTTCGGTCATGATTTTATCACTTAAGAAACATTGCTAAATTAAGTCCTATTGTATCACGCACTGAACTGGAGTTGTTATACATGCATTCATTTCATCATGATTAGACTACTGTAATTCACTGTTTACATGTCTAAGCAAAAACTCCTTGGAGCATCTGATGATTGTTCAAAACGCTGCAGCAAGGCTTCCGGCCAGATCATCAAAGTACTCACATGTGACACCGTTGCTAATACAGTTGCACTGCCTCCCCATTAAATTCAGAGTCCATTTTAAGATTCTGGTTCTGACCTTCATGGACAAGCACCAGCTTGCATCATTGAACTTTTAAAGCCCTATGTCCCTAGCAGGTCCCTGAGGTCATGTGATCAAGCCCTACTTGTTATTCAGCATACAAGGCTGAGAACTAAGGGAGACAGAGCTTTTACCACTGTGGCTCCCAGACCATGGAACTCTCTCCTACTGAGCTTAAGATCTGTGGACTCAGTAGTCTCTTTTTAATAACAACTAAAAACACATTTTTAAATTTGCATTTTTGTTAACTTTTGTCTGTTTTTGTTTTATACTTAATCTCTGTGTGAAGCACTTTGTAATCTTTTATCTAGAAAAGTGCTATATAAATAAAAATTTACTTACTTACTTTACCTGTTCAATGACCTGCTGATTTGTAAGTTAATAAATAACCTCTGATATGTCACATTCATTATTTGTGTGTTCGTTGTTGGTTCCAGGTGCGTTGTATGTCTGCACTGAGGACTCATTTCCCATTAAGCGTCTGCACCAGCTGATTGGCGAGCAAGTCTGTCTGCGTTCTGACGTTCCTGCGGACCTTGTAAGCAGTCTTCGCTTCAGCGACCACGTTTACATTGAGCATACCGCGGATCTGGTAAGTCTGATCATGCGACATCTGTTCAGACCCCGTTACAACCCATAACTTCTTGCTCTGTCCTCAGGATTCCCTCCTGGTGTGCCTAACACGCCGTGCCCGCCTCCTACTGACACGCGGTCTGGTGCGACTAATCGTGGTCGACTCAGTGGCAGCGCTGTTCAGGACCGAGTTCCAGGCCGATGATTGGCTAGAGAGGAACAGACAGCTACTCACCTTCTCCTCCATGCTGCATCACCTGAGTCAGGAGTTCAGCACACCTGTGCTCTGCATCAACCAGGTAACACCATCCAGGTAGCACACCAGAGTTCAGTCTCTTATCTCTGACCACTAATCAGTGACAGGTGTTTGTTTTCCAGGTAACAGATGTTTTCAGCCAATCACACAACAGTATGGGGTAAATCAGATATCTTCTTTATGAGCTGATCACATTTTGACCTTTGACCTCAGAACCACTTCAGCATAAATTTCCTCCTACTCAGGCCTTCGCTGTCCACCGTGTCTCCTGCTCTTGGGTTGGCGTGGGCCAATCAGGTGATGGTTCGGCTGATGATGAGCCGTCTCCAAGGAACGGTCGTCCGTGGTGACCAGAGCAGTGCTCTCCGCAGGTTGGAGGTGGTGTTTGCGCCTCACCTGGCACGTGACGGACAAAACGCTGCCGTGTGGAGGGAGGGGCTCAGAGGAGTTGAGAGCTGGACTTCAAATAGAAAATAAACTTTATTAAACAGCATCAGTAGCATCAGATTATTAAAGAGTGATCACACTGTTTCCTGACTGTTCTGAAGGTTGTGGACACTGATGCATTGACTGGGGGTCAGACAGGTGTGTTAGTGGCCTCATATCTCTTTGATCTGGACAGAATGAGCTGGGAGGTCCAGACTGATACATGATCCTGATTTTGCTGTGCAGGTGGACTCTGGTCTGTTCAGGAGCCTATGATTCGGTTCTGGTTGACCCGCTAAAGTGGATTCAGATTATTTTCAGACTGAACCTTTTCAATTCAATTCAATTTTATTTATATAACGCCAGATCACAACAAAAGTCGCCTCAAGGCGCTTCATAGATACAGAGAAAAACCCAACAATCATATGACCCCCTATGAGCAAGCACTTTGGCGACAGTGGGAAGGAAAAACTCCCTTTTAACAGGAAGAAACCTCCGGCAGAACCAGGCTCAGGGAGGGGCGGGGCCATCTGCTGTGACCGGTTGGGGTGAGAGAAGGAAGACAGGATAAAAGACATGCTGTGGAAGAGAGACAGAGGTTAATAACAGATATGATTCAATGCAGAGAGGTCTATTAATACATAGTGAGTGAGAAAGGTGACTGAAAATGAAAAACTCAATGCCTCATGGCAATCCCCCGGCAGCCTACGTCTATTGCAGCATAACTAAGGGAGGATTCAGGGTCACCTGGTCCAGCCCTAACTATATGCTTTAGCAAAAAGGAAAGTTTTAAGCCTAATCTTAAAAGTAGAGAGATAGTGTCTGTCTCCCGAATCCAAACTGGAAGCTGGTTCCACAGAAGAGGGGCCTGAAAACTGAAGGCTCTCCCTCCCATTCTACTTTTAAATACTCTAATGTCATTTGACATGATTTAGTGACTGAACATATTTAACAGGAAGTGTAATCAGATTACAGCAGAAATAGAAGCGGTGTCTGCAGCAGCCTGAAAGTTTTGTCAGCCTGATCGTTAAGCAGGCGTTCACATCAGCTTCCAGCTGTGACTCGTTTATCCCTTTAAATATGTTACTGCTTTGAGGATCCAGTTTTAAATCTTGTTACGTGTCTTGATGGTTTGGTGCTGCATTCCTGCGGCCTGTGAAACAGCTAATCTTGGATGTTTCTTGATCCAATGTTGATTTAGTAACTTTTATGTACTTTTTCAGCTGAGGTTTTTAAATGTGCTATAGAAGTAATCTTTTTACTTGACATGAATGTCCTAAGTAAAAAAAATATGCTTTTTGTTGAGGACCAACAGTGATGCTGTGTACGAGAAACTACTTTCTAAAGAAGCTTGGGTCCTTTAATGTGTGCAGCAGGATGTTGGAGATGTTCTACCAGTCTGTGGCAGCAAGAGCCGTTTACTCTGCTGAAGGGCAGCATCAGTGCAGAGATGCAGCTGAATCAACAAACTAATCCACAAGACTGCAAGCATCATTGGTCAGAATTTGGAAGTGTTTGAGTCGAATCATGGACAGCCCATCACCCCCACAGTAGAGCTCGTCCTCCGTCAGACTGATTCAACCTCACTGTCACTGCTATCATGTGTGAACACGTGTTTCTATTGTAGCCTCATGCAGCTGCTTTTCTTAGATTTGTGATTATTGTTCATATTATTTATTAATGTAATTTTTTCTCCTACACTGTGTTAGCTAAAAGACAAGCACTAAAGCACTTTTCTTTGCTTTTTTAAACATTTGTATCATAGTATAAGGCAGGGGTCGTCCACCTTTCTGATGAGTGCCATCTAAAATTTCCTCAGAAGTCAATGTGCCATATCAACCATTGCATTAGCAATAAATTTAATAACGCTCTATATCAACAGTTACACACTATATAGAACAACTTTATAGATCTATATTTGTTGGCATGTTGGCGTCGCCTCTGTCAGTGCGCCCCAGGGCGGCTGTAGCTACACTGTAGCTTGCCATCACCAGTGTGTGAATGTGTGTGTGTGTATAGTGTAAAGCGCTTTGGGGTCCTTAGGAACAAGTAAAGCGCTATACAAATACAGACCATTTACCATTAGTACACTATTGTATTTCCGTGGTGCTGATGCTGCGCTGAGTGGACAGCTCTGAGGCATTTGAAGTGTCGGAATGTGGAAATTTCAACATCGCTTGAAAAAACTGTCAGCTAGCAAGGTCCCTCTCACCGTTAGGCTAGGTGATTTTTGGCCAATTACAAGTTGAATCTGGTAATTGGGTAATTAGCTAAGATGCCGTCATTAAGAAGCAACACAACTAATGTGTCTATGCGAGCTAACTTGCGATGTGCATCGGTGCCCTTTATTTTTAATGCACCTTCTCAGAGTAATTCACTGCGGGTCGTGCCATCAGTTAACCCTTTTCGTGCCAGCTGTGGCAGGCGTGCACAGGGTTGCCGACCCCTGGTATAAGGTCTCAAAGGGATTGTTACTTAATTGATCCAAACATTTCATTCATTTTGTAGTTTGAAAACCAAAACCGTCAGACTATTGCCTCGCACGGATCTTTGTTGCAGCCTATCCTCTAGCTCGGCTAATGTCGCCATCCTTTTACTGCGCCTGCAGTTTCACTGCCATAACAACAGGAAACCAACCCAATCTTTCAACATAAAAGAAGCAAGAGAGTATCCCGGTGTTGTGGCAAAAAGTGGATTGCCTGCCAAAAACTGATTTCCAATGTTTGCGTGTGTTTTTTTATTTTTTATGTGTAATATCGTTACGTTGCTAAAAAGTCTTTGGTGAACAGGTATTACAAAGTGGTTATATATAAAATTAAAAAATTACCTGTTTCTCAAGTATCATTGTGACTGTGTTATTGCACTTACATTATAATCAATCAGCTCCCTTTTGTCCACTTACAATATATTTACAGAACTATTTTTGCATTTGTTGCAATTTCAGCTGTCCTCTTGGTCAGATTACTCTTAAAAGATATTTTTAAAGTCAATATTTTTTTTTAAACTGCAAACATAAAGGATACATAAATCTCACTGCCAAAAACTGATTACGGCTTCTACCTTGTTACAGGAATGTTGTTTGTTGCTCAAGATGACGTGATATCATTCATGAGGGATACATTTGATATATGTTTCACATATTATACACTAACAAGAAGGCAGTTTTTGGCAGACAATCACCGGTGTGGATGGTACAGCCACATTTAGAAAAATAAAAAGCCATTATTGGTCATTTTAAGAAATAGCAGTGGTAATGTGCAGATTACAGCTGTTGTTTCAGGACAAAGTGCCGCTGTGTTAGCGAGGACGTACTTTCCGTTGTAGTAATAAAGGAAACAATTTGTCTTTGGAATCATAAACACAGGGCGGAAATCAGAATGAGGACGATGAAGCAAGCTTCGTCTGATCAGAAGGAAAACACAAATGTAGAAGATAGGATTTGTGCAAAACGAAATGTCTGGTAATGGAGATATGCGAGGTTATCGATGGTTACACCCTCGTGCATGAACGAGGATGGATGATGTATCACTGAGGGACTGATCGCTTTGTTTCACTGACACGAGGAGGGGACAGCAACGTGTTATCTCCACATTCCATATATTGTTCTCATACCCTGTCGTATGATGGTGTTTTGTGATTCACTGAGTGAAAAATTCCACTCTGTCATCTTCTCCAGGTAAGGGGCACAGTCTGTTACCATGATAACTGACGCTTTCCGGAAGAGAAAAACTTGCGTTTCTAGAACGTGATGAACACCACAAAGCGGGGTGAGATCCTTTATGACCGATCAGCTGATCTTATTGAGTTTAAAAAATAGTTTGGTTTGACGTAATATAAAGTTTCGGCTTTTATTTTGAAATGGGCGTGTCGTACTCTGAGCTGTAGTTTCCGGTGAGGGTCGGAATGGGAGCTGGTCGGTGATGCACATCGCGTGAAGCTTCAGATCGAAAATCAGAGATTGAACATCAGCTGCAGGTCAGACCCAGCGTGTTTGTTTCCTGTCGGTTGTTTGCTGTTGTTTACAGCGGTAGACTCGATCATCAGTAAGATTTGTGATTGATTTTCTTCCTGTTGTCAGCTAATCAGCGATCGATCAGTGATCGAGAATTAATTCACATTAAAAGTCTGATCAGGAAATGGAAACAAAAACAAATGACGTCAAGAGATGTTAAGGGCGTGGCCCTATGGACCGATGACGTGATCGATCACCTGTTCATGTGATTATTGTGATGTCGTGTTTACCTCACAGGTAAGGCCCCGGGCCCTATTTCAGGAAGCCGGTTTAGTGCAAACTCTGAGTAAGTATACCCTGAGTTAACGAAAACTCTGGGTTTTCGGTTTCACAAAGCGAGTTTAGATTAATTCTGAGTGAGTTACTATGACGACACACTCCGTGAAGCTGACCTGCCCCCTAGCAGGTTTACTTCAACTAACCCTGACGTTCTCCGCCTCTTTGTCAGAAACCTGACTGCAGGAAGTGTCAGACATGGCCTGCCCCTTCCTTGAAGAGCCAGTAGATGTTGAAGCCCAAATTCTCCGCAGAGCTCTCCGCCGGGAGAGAGTGATTAGAGCGCGTTTGGACATTTTATCATTTCCTGATGATTTCCTGTGTGAACGTTACCGTTTTTCAGCACAATCTATAATTTATTTGAATAACATCCTCAGGCCTAATATTGCTCATGTGACACATCGCGGACATTCTCTCAGTTCTGTACATATTATTTGTATTGCACTTCGTTTTTTTGCAAACGGGAGCTTTCTGTATAATATTGGTGACGCTGAGCACGTTTCCAAGGCTACCGTCTGTCGGGCAGTCAGGAATGTTACAGTTGCACTGAAACGTCTCCTGTACTCGTTTGTGGTGTTCCCCGGTCATAGACCCACAAGATTTATCAAAGAAGGATTCCACAAAATTGCAGGTATCAGGATGAACAAAACTTAATTCATGATGTGGTGATACTTGAACTACTACTTAAATTTTACATTTATTCTCACGGTTCCCAGGCGTGATTGGCTGTATAGATGGCACTCACATTCCAATCAGGAGCAATGTGAACAGGAAGTCTT